AACATAACCTCAAAAATGTTTGAGAAAAACATTTTGAAAATGATTATTTAGACATATGGTTAGAAAAGACACCCTAAAAAGTGATTTTAAGTGGATTCTTACAGAAATATCGGATGGAAACTGAAGAAATTTTCTTAATCTTTCAATTCTTTATCTCGCAAAGAATATTTAGACAGGATAATTCAATGAATCAGCAAATGCATCGACCGAAGAATGCTCAAGAGTGTCTGTCTGTGGTGAAGAGGAAATATTGTGATGTGAGGAAATCTGAGAAATTCATGCGGTTGTCAGGGCAAAAGAAGAAAGAAGTGGATGTTGAAATGTTTTGGTGTTCTGGGTCGATTAATTGAAAATCCGTTTCCCGGTATTTCGCTCGTCCATTGGATGCCATGAGGCGAAGCTCAGAGAGTTGAACACTTGCCCGATCTGTCAAGGAATTCCACTTTTGTTGCTCCGCGCGCCCGAGAGTCAAGCGGTGAGAGAGAAGTTGAAGAGCCAGGTATTATTTGTGCTGCCACTGCGGTTGCTCTCTTGAGAATGGAAGTGTCTGTATGTGGCGCACACGCTCTGCCAAACACTTCCGCATACGTCATGTCGCCTCTCGCATGTTCTCTGTGCCAGGCGGAAGTGGTCTGTCTCTCTCTCTCTCGCGGGCAGATGCTCTGGCCCCTTCGCCCTGGGGCGCTGGCCGGCTCTCTTCCTGCACCCTGAGGAATCTTCCTCAAGCCAGAAACTGGGTCCCCATTCTTCCCCAGACGCGCAAAGTCACTCTCGCGACCAGTCGGTGACTTTGGCCTGCGTCTGATGCCGACAGCCGAGTCACACACTGAAAGCCGGAAACAATTTATTTGCAATTTGACCTCGCTATATGTCTGATTTCTCGTTGTTACCCAGTCATATTTTTTCCCGCGCGACCATTATATTTTATAAAATACACACAAGCGGCCACAATTTTACAATAAAACTTTAACTCCACTGTCTCTAAGTATGTACAATTCTTTTTGCTCTCCCTCTCGCGTCGCTTCCTTTTATTCCGCAATTTGCAAAGTGGAAAAGAATTATAAATGAAAGGAAAGGAAAGAAGAAAAAAAATCTTGGCGCGCAGTTCCGTCAGTCAGAATTAAACAATATAAGAACACAATATAAAGTTAACCATTAAGTTTTCGGAAGAATACATCTCAGCTTCTCAGCTGAGCTCTATGCGCGAGATTCGCGATGATCTCGCAAGCGAGTCGCGCGAAGATTGTTGATGGAAAAACAGTGCGGAATCTCACTATCTCATTTACAGTAATATCTTGTTCTAGATGCAAGCGCGCGAGAATAGGAAGAGAAAAAAGACAGAGCGCGCTAAGACAATTGCCAAGACAGAGAGATTCTCTTCCTACTTCACTCCACGCTGTGTGTGATGTCTTGCAAATGCCTCAGAACTGCTGTATCACGATAAACCGTGTAAATAAACACTTGAGCGTTTCATTGAAATAATTCATTAAATGTTTTCTCCGTGTCATTTAACTTCCATGCGCTCTCGCGATAAAAGTATGCTCCTTTATCGCGTTATATGGCTAAATTAGTGCTAAAACTGTATTTCCTGGTTCACTTATCAAGCAAGAGAATATATATTTAGAAAGGACAGACCTTTTGGAGCATCGTAATGTCCATTGCCAGTGAAATTTTATCATTCTTCTCATGTTCTTGGCGTGCTGATAAGGCTAACCTGTAATCTCTCAGGATCTCCTTGAGATGTGATCTCGCACAGTTAAGGTGAGAGGTCGTCAGTCGGCATTTTTGTCACAATATCCTCATCACAAGCATTACCGTATTTCTTCTTGAGAGCGGCAGTTGCAGTGCGCGCGCAAAAACGGTGCAATTAGCAAAACCAGTAATTTTGCACAGGTTTTGTGTGTTGCGCGCTCGTGAAAAGCGACAAGTTCACTTTCCGCATCTTAGCGACCAGAGAGAGGGAGAGAAAAACGCTCTGGTTGTAATGACAAAGATGTATTAAATGGCAGGAGGAAAAAGGCGCCGTGAGCGCGCAAATATACTTAAATTGCGGCGAGATGTGGGGAAATTAAAGTTTCTTTAAAATTGGAAGTCGCACGCGCAGCCTCGCAAGAAAAACAGCCCAGACGTCACACGGTCGGCGTAATTGCAAGAGAGGAGGAGAGATACATATATGCCTGAGCCAACGCTGACTGGGTAAATTGCAAATTCAATGTCATTGCCACACACTCGCGACCAGACACCGCGGGCACAGGAAGAAGATGAGGCCGAAATGCGGAAGGCGCACTTTGACTTCCGATTCCCAATTTCGCCGTCGCGATTTGCATAGGCGACCGAGACCTGGGCGAGTGACACAAAATCCCGGAAGTCACTCGTGACCAAGAGAACCGCCTTCCGCGTGTGTGTGTGTTGGAAAATTCCTCCTCCAGCGCCGTACATTTTCCCTGTGGGAAAGTTATTGTAAGTGATGAAATTAACCGGTGGACGTATGAGAAAAATCACACGTCATTCGCAACTTATCATGCAAATATTTTCCACTTGACTCTGCTATTTGCTGTCGGTAGCGGAAGATTAAAAAAATTATCAGATATTCTATTTTTTTTATGGGCAGAGAAGAGGTTTATTCTTTATATTATTTTATTGTAATAACTGCGCGTTCTCCCTCGCATTCTTAGTCACTCAATCAAAAGCACTGGCAAATTCCCATAATTATTGCGCGAATTTCCCGTTTTCTTTTCCCCTGTGCTTCTTATTCTTTCCTGCTCATATATTCTCTTTTTCTCTATACTCTATTTGTTTTTCCTGCCTTTTGTCTCCGGCCTCTATTTTCCACACACACACACACACACAAAGGCGCGCTCTGGGTTAGAAGAAGTGGCGGAAAAAGTGCCGTCTTCCCTGTTCAAGGGTTAATGCGAATAGAACCAAGCAGTGTTCTGAATATACTTATCAAATTACCAGAGATTATTATTCATGTTCTTCCATACAGTCGTCTTGAGAGTGTATCAAGAGGCAGATAATGTGGCTGAAATCTGTACATCACTTTCAACTTATTATTATTATTATTCGTGTGAAAATGTGAGGTTATGAATGATTTTACTGTCTTGAAAAACAAATTGACAACTTTAGTTAAAGATTTTGTAGTTCTCAACAAAGTTTCCAGTCGATATTTTTACAAAAAACTACTCTAAATCGGTTTTTATGGATGTTTTTTCATCATAACCTCAAACATAAATTAAGAGATTTTAAAGAATTCTTCATGATTTCTTAAAACCTGAGCAGAAAAGTATTTCTTTGTGTTCATGTTCTCTTATGAACTCAAAATTGCAGACTTTAATTTAGAAATGAGTCAGAAAGTTCATAAAATTGACAGATTTTTGAGGTTATGTTTGACTCAAGCTGAATTTAGTGTTTCTTAACCGCTAAAAATCCTTAATCACACTCTTTTCGTTTGCATATACTTTATTCTGCCGAAAAGTAGAAACTTTCCTGATCAAATCGCTACAATTATAATGTTTTAAGCGATTTAAATTAATCACATAACCTAGAAAAGCATTATGACTGTGTTTTGAATCTTGAAAGTAGCTTTGAAGAAAGCATTGTTCCTCAAACTTTCGCTGCTCAACACTTTCAGTGCGTTGTACACCACTCGTAGTGCGATTGTTCCCCCCTTGGAATGTGTATCATTGCTCTGTGATGAGCAGTTATGGCCTTTCAGTCATTGTGGTTTTTGCTAGCCCACAATCAGTTGCATTGAGATTGAATTATGGCCGTTTACAGTTGAGAGAGATGCACATGAAGTCCAAATATTCTGGGACTGATTGGCCGGTGAAAAGATGTGCTTTGTGGGCAGAATTTCCTGATGGCATTCCAGTGGGAAATTCTTGCATTTCAAACACCCCGCGCGCAGGCCAAGTTCCCACAAGGCGCTGAGTGTGAAGAGGGACCGGAAAGACAAAGCAGATGACGAGCTTGGAAGAGAGTGAGAAATATCTTCCGCAGCGGATTCTGTGGTTTCTGTGCTTGGAAGAGAAGGAATGACTTCATGGCTGTGCTATTATGTTTTTGTTTCCGCTCAAACCGGTTCCCCGCCAGCGGGCGAGAGGGGCCGAGATGTCTTCTGGGCGTTGAGGAAGAAATGAGGTGGAAAGACGTGGAGGAGGCACGACCGCACAAAATTGATCATCGAACAAGTGATTCTCGTTCCACTCGCTCTGGCTTTTGAGAATTTTCCACCGAAATGGGTGTGAGTGGTGGCTTTTTTGCCCAGATGAGGTGAGCAAGGGAGTCCTACAGAGGCTGTGATTCTCGCGTGTGCAGTCGCGGATGCCTCCATTCGGCGCTGAGTGGCTTCGGTCAATGTCAGTAGCTGTGATTTGGTCAGCAGATGGTTGGGAGAATGTGTGGCAAAACCGCCCGAGTTGCGCTGAAGAAATCAATACGATAAATTTAACATGCTTCCTGAACTCAACAAGAGAACGTGTTTTGTGTGGCGTTTCGTCACGACGTGGTCGCGAGTCTCTGCGGCAGAGAGTTGAGGGGAATTGAGCGGGAAATTCTCAAGAAGCTCACTGGCAAGCATGATATTTCCTCTCTTTCCATGCGGAGTGTCACTTTCGTGTCCAATTGGCCTTTGCGAGGAAGTTCAATTCTTGCACATCATCAAGCAAAACCATTAACGGGAGATGTTTCTATGCGAGAGAAACGAGATCACGATGGGGAGGCCGCCGCGGCTGCTGCATCCCGCGGCACGCTTAATGATTATAATAAAATACGCGCGATGCGAGGGAATTTCATAAATACCTGCAAATCGATTGCAATTTAAGGACAAATAAAATTCTACTCATGCATTTCCGCTTAAACCAGCTTCGACGGATGTTATATGACAGTTTATGTTGCCTTTTTCTTCTCCGCATCTCCATTTCTTTCGCCTCTATCGCGCAAGATCAGTGGAATTTCCGCTCTAATCCGTGTGCAATGTGTTTTCCCTTTTCTTCCAGCCACTTTTCACACCATGAAGCTGCTGCCGATTCCGCCGCTGCCCGCGCTGGGCGCTCCGCCACCGTTGGGCATCTGGGGACAGGCTTCGGAGATGCTGTGGCGGTTTCCACACATGCCCAATCCGCTGAATCCGCTCAGCGAGCTCAAGACTCAGCTTCCCGCCCAGCTCACCACAGATCCGCGCCTGTGGACGCGCGAGGACGTCGGCGTGTTCCTGCGGTGGTGCGAGAGGGAGTTCGATTTGCCCAAATTCGAGATGGATCTCTTCCAGATGAACGGTAAGTGGCGCTTAATCAGTCCAACGCACACAGAGTGTGGCAAACTCTGGCCCAGAAATCGATAAATCACTCCTTGTGCTCGGAAAACTTTCCTGACGACTTTCTGAAGAGTACAAAAGTCAAAAGTTTGTGTGTGCAAATAAACTTCCTCGTTCGTTTACCATAAATCTCCCATAAAAAGCATTAGGCGCGTATTTGTCTTTGTCGCGTTTACTGCGAAATTTTTCCTAATGATCTTCTTCTGTCTCTTGAGTGTGTGAGTGTCTTAGAAGACGACAAACAATGCGATGCGTAAAATTTGCACGAATTGAATTGATATTTTCCGCTGATAAGCTTTGCCAATTGAATCTCTGTTCTTGTGAAATTGAGGCTCCCATTGATGACTATTGCACCTCTCGTGGAAATAATACTCTTAATGAAAACAAATATTGATGTTAGCAATCACGCTCAAGATTCTATGGCATTGATTGTGTGGATGGAAAAAAATTATCGCTTTTTATTAAAAATTTCTGAGAAATCGCAAATGAACAACATTTTCGCGAAGTGTTCTGGAAAAAAGACTCTCGCGCGCGCAAAACAGTCTTCAACAAATCTCCCACACGAGGGGCTCGTTATTTCACTGTGATGATGCCTTCTGGGAACGCCCGTGTTGCGCAACGTGATTGATCACACCGAAAAAAACACGCGATCGCACCTGATTTGCCTAATGGGAAGCCGATGATCGCGATTATTGCGATCATGGCGTGGAATTGAGTAGGAAATTCAATCAAATGCTTGACCTTAACAATCGTTCTCTATGCAAATTCATATCCAAATGATCCACAAATTATCGCTTTTTTTTCTGGGGAGACTTTCGAAGATGTCTTGAATTTCGTGCTTTACGCGTTGAGTTATAAAATTGCGCAAACACAATAAATTGCATTTCTCGTGCATATCCAAAAATGAGAGCAACTTTTTCTCTTTCTCTCTCTCAGAAAGCACACACAATATTTGGCCAACAAGGCAATAATGCAGAATTTTACGCAATGTGCACGCGATGGAGAACTTGTGAAAGACCACCTTTTATACAATCAATTTTATAATGCTGCACCCCTTGTCGTTACGTGATGACGCGCGTTATCTAACACACGCTTTCCCTCTCTCTCTCTCTCTGGGCAGGCAAAGCGCTGTGCCTTTTGACCAAAACAGATCTCGCGGAGCGGATTCCGGGAGCCGGTGATATCCTCCACAATGTCCTGCACATGCTGGTGCGCGACTCGCAGCTGCTGCACCGTTATCTGCCCAACAGCCCGGTGACGCCCACGAGCCGCTACCCTCTGTCGCCGCACAGCCAGCCGCCGACGCCCAACTGGACGCAACTGGCGCCGCCGGACAGCCCTCTGCTGCACTCCGTGCACCTGCAGCACCTGATGACCTCCAACTCCGTGACGCTCAGCCCCGCGCCGTCCGTGGACTCGCAGGGCAGCCCGCCGCGGCCTGACGGCGCTCAGGCGGAGTACACAAACGGCAGCGGCGGCGCGGCGCCCGCCAACGGCGCCGGCAGCTCCGGCAGCGCCCAATCAGAGTCCGACGAGGACACATTCACGTACGGCGTGAAGCGCGAGGCGAGCGCCGGCAACGGCAACGCCAGCAGCCCACCGATCACGCCGCTGCGCAAGGAGGCGCCGACGCTGCCGCAGCAGATCAGCGCCGTGATGAACTCCTGGTCCAACCAGCTGTCGGAGAAGTCGGCGTCCGCGCCCAACACGCCCGGCGCCTTCCTGCCCGTGAAGACGGAGTTCTTCCCCGTGAAGAACGAGTTCTTCCCCAATGACTCACCGGAGCCGAACACAAGTGAGTAGCCCAGTTGTGACTCACGCCCACTTCCCGCCTGGCATCCCCTTTAATCCGGATAGTGATCAATTAGCACACCCATTCACGATTCCGCGCTGGCGATAATTCAATTATCGTCACCGCGGCGATTCCTGACCACCAAAGTTTCGCCAGTTTCTCGCCAACGTCTTGTTTGCAATGCTCGGATTGCAGTAAATAAAGCTCAACACTCATGCGTTGGCTTTTTTTTCTGCGTGAACAATCAAATGAAGCTTAATGTCTGTGAATTGCCGTGAGTGCATAAAAACTTGAGAACATTCAGAGATTAAGTAAACTCACGGAAAAAAGAGTAATAAACCCAATCCTTGGGTTTTTTTCTGTTAGAATTAACAGCATTTCCTGGGGTTTTTCAGCTCATGAAAGACACTCTAAAACGCACGTAAAATCGAATAGATTGAAACATTTTCTTATCACATTATCAGAACATGAAGAAATTCATACTCTATTTGAATTGACATTAATTTGCCGTTTTTAGTCTGGGTAAAATGGGATGAAAATAGGATATTTTTCAGGAGTTTTTCAGCACAATTAACATGACAATCTTCTTCTGTGTGTCAATTCCAGATGGTCGTCTCTTGTGGGACTTTCTGCAGCAACTCCTCAACGATCCTGCCCAGAGATACAGCAGCTACATCGCGTGGAAGTGCCGCGACACAGGTGTGTTCAAGATAGTCGATCCAGCCGGGCTGGCCAAGCTCTGGGGCATCCAGAAGAACCACCTGTCCATGAACTACGACAAGATGTCCAGGGCGCTGCGCTACTACTACCGCGTCAACATCCTGCGGAAGGTGCAAGGAGAGAGACACTGTTACCAGTGAGTATTCATCCTGCCAACACAGCGATAAGCCAGAGCGCCTTTCTGTCGCGCGAGTGGGTGGATTTGCTCAGCTCTCAGTTGGGTGATAAGGATTTGAGAGGATTTCTCTGGTGAATCATTTTGAGAAATGCTGGCCGATTGGGCGCTCTTTGTCGCGTTTCTGGGTTTTTCTGGCCACAAAAATTGTCTGAGAGCTTCACGTGACTGTGTCAGATTTGCGTGGGTTTCTATCGCAAGTTGAGTTTTCACTTTACTGAATCACACTCTATCGATTCATTCATTTCAATAAATTTCCGTTCATGTCGATAAGAGTTTATTACACTGCCTCACAAGTTTACTCCCGCATGATTGATAAAGGCGTCATTATCATAGGACGTCCTCTGCGTTTAATTAATCGATACAGGAGACAGTCTTGCAGTTCAGATTTCAACACACACAAAAATGTTGAAAGCCTCGAGAGATCCTAATCAATATCACACACAGCCTGACTCAAGGGGGAGATAATATGCCTTAAATCTGTGCAACACTTCTAAATTTGCCTAACACTTCTAGAACATGAAATGAATCGAGATAAAATCGCTTGTATTGGACATCTTTTTCGACCATAACCTCACAAATGCAACTAAGAGAACTCCAAAGACTCCGTTTGGAAGTTTTCTAGATCACAAAATCATTTCAAAATCATCTAAAATTGCTGATTCACAGTCAAAATTATCCAAAAAGTTGTCTAAATGGACATTTTCCAAGTCCAAGTGACTATTTTTGAGGTTATGTTCAATCTTAGCACAATTTGCAGTGTTTTTTGCCATCAAAGGATAAGAAAACATTATTTATTGCTTGCAAATGCTAAATTTTGCCAAAAAACTAGAAGTATTTCCGTGCTAGAATGCGAATTATTCACTAAAATTGTCCCTAATTTGTTACATAACCTAGAAAAAGATTTTTTCGTTTGTTTCTGCATGAAAATCGAAAGAAATTCAGAGAATCTGGCTGATTCGTCAGCAAAAAGAACTTGCACTTCTGAAGTACTTCTGGCTGTATTATCTAGCCCTTGGTCTGACTCATCCCCAGAAGAGCTTCTAATCGAAGATGTGGCAAACAGTTGTATTTCACCAATCATGTTGCGTCACTTGAGGGAGAAAATCACTTTTACACCTTCAAGAGCCAATAAAAGTGCGTTGATAACGGACTCTCTTTTGGGCAATTTCCTCCACCCAAGGTTAACCGCTGTGTGTGTTTATTTTTAGTCTCGCACTCGAGACAGTGACGGAGCACCTGAGGTTTGTGATTAGAGAATTTGACTGGAGTGCTTTCTCACCCACAGATTCCTGCGGAACCCTTCGGAGCTGAAGAACATCAAGAACATCTCGCTGCTGCGACAGGCGCCGACGACCACCTCCACAGCCGGCGCTGCCACAGCCACCACGAATGGCGCCACGTCGTCTCTGGGCGGCGCCAGCACCTCCACATACTCCTCGGCGTCCTTTCCCTCCTCGCCGAGCGCCTTCCAGACCAGCTTCCACCACCTGTCCGTGTCCAATGGCGCCAACTATCCCGTGAAGCGCGAATATGTGGACGTGCGCAGCTTCCCGCCCGTGTCGACGGTGAAGAGTGAGGCCATGGACGTGGGCGCCGAGGACATGCCCACCGATCTCAGCATAGGCGCCGATCGCAAGTTCGCGCTCTCGCGCGTCGAGCCCGAGTGCTTCCCGTGAGTACAACATCTCTGTTGGCTGCCCCAAAACTGCCCTAATTTCCCTCGAATGCAGTTGGAATTTCACGCACATTCCGCGGTGTTACGATGATTTTGCAACAATTGAATTACACTCTCTTGTATCACGTAAAATCAATTAAATAATAGCTTTAATTGTTTCACACGTAAGGGCCGATAATTCACTCTATCTCACGTCAATTGTGGGGAATTTTTCATATTTCGCGTGTTGCGAAAATTGACTTCTGCTGAAGGGAAGAAAAGAGTTTGTAAGAACACTGTTTGAGGAATAGATTGAATTCGTATGAAATATCTCTTCACACTTCTAACTACACCAATGATTTACGATTAATTCTGGTTTTATCACCTGAAAATCGACTGGAAACTAACTCACAACGTGATCAAAATGTGGTTTTCAGTGGAATTTTCTTTAAAACAATACTTAATATTGTGAAAAGACGTCGATTAGAATCTTTCTAACTCAAAATCGGAACTGTTTACTGATAAGTTTATGATTATATTCGACTTTGGCACTGAAACAATCAATATAAATTGAGAACAGAATATTTTGACCATATATTTTAACCACAATATCTCCGCCTTGATTGAAGATTTGCTTCTTTCCGTTTTTGCTATCAGAAAGTTGGTCATATTGACGTCATTTGGATGTATAATTATCGGTCAGGATGAGTGTTAGTGACGTCAAGGCGTCTTAAGACTTTTTTCTTTATCTCTCAACCGTGATTTATAGTTTCTTCCCCACGGAAAAAAGAGCTTTATCTGGAAATCTCACTTGCATTCGCAAATTCGGAGCTCATTTGGTATTTTCCACCCGAAATTACGGCGCGTGAAAAAACCCCGTGCGAAGAATTTTCCAAATGATTCAAGGGAAATTTTCCATGTTTCTCCGCTAAAATGGCTTCGCAATGATTGAATATTGATTGGCGAGAGAGAAGATTGCGGGCTTTTCCACACGCACAATGTTAACGAGACACTCGCTTTGCAGGCTGATAAAGAACTCCAACGGCGTGACGACGATTCAGCTGGTGCAGCGCCAGGAGCACAGTTCCGCGTCCCCGCAGCCCGGATCCTCGAGTTCCGACCGAGGCTCGCCGAGCGGGGCGGAAAGTGTGGCCCAGAGCGACAGCTCGTCGCCGGCCGAGGACGCGGCGATGCCCACGGACCTCAGGAAGACGGCCGAGGGCGCCGCCGCGGGCCCCTTCAGCGCCCAGAGCCTCCTCAAGAGCGACAATAAGTAGAACGGACTCGCCGCGGGCCCCGTTTTCAGGGCGCCACGCTCGCGCTTTACTGAGATTCTGAGACAATCAACAATGATAATTATGCGTGATCCTTAAATCGCCATCAAGCAGAAAAGATACAATTTATATATATTTCGGGGTGGAGAAATGATGAGCAGAGTTCAAGTTTCAACACCGCGACACTCTTAAATACAATAATTACGTGCCAATTTCATTAGAACTCTTTGTTTTTAAGAGATTTATTATATCATTAGAAAGAGAAAAATCATCGTGTAGTGTTAATGCGGAAGAAGAAAGGGCGAAAAGTACATTTTAGAGAGAGAGAAAAAGAGAAAGAAGTGAAGTAAGAGTTAAATATTTCATATATAGAATTTATTTACAAAAAAAGAATCATAAAATTGACAGATAATGTGTAAAAAGATATAACTCACAAAAAAAATATTGGAGAAGAGAGAAAAAAACATGAAAAATTTACTCAAGTTGTTGGAAAATTTTCAGCAAAAGGCGCGCATTTTACTGCAAAAAATTTTGTTACACTGTTTTCTATTTGTTAGTTTAGTAAAAAGAAAGAGAAGAGGAAAAAGTAAGAAACAATAATAGTTTAAGACTAAGAAATAAAAACACACATAGTGAAGAAGGATTTAGTTTTAAAGAGTAAGACTTGAAACAATTGTTCATTTTTACAGACGCTCAATTAGAGCGATCTATTAATTTTGTATAGAAAACTCCCCTAATTTATAATTTATCTCTTATCTATAGAAAAAAAAACACATCTAATCAACGAAGAGAAAACGTGTTGATTTCTTTTTATAATAATTGTAGTAGAATTGATTGAAAATTTGTGCAATTTTTTTTCGTGTAAAACTTATAAAAAAAACGACAACAGAATCGAACAATAATTGGGAAAAATTGTAGGATTAATTTGAATGGATTAAGAGAAATTATTCTGAAATGTTAACTTGAGAGAAATTTGAGAAAAAGTGTAATTCCAAAACTGTCTTATTCGATTTGGGTGAAAATTCACATGAAGAAAAACATACTTTAGGCTTTTTTGTATTAGGAATTAATAAGGAGAAAAAGATGAAGAAGAAATTGAGAAAGAGCAAGTGATATTTTTCAAAATTGAAGACGTGAAATTTGAGAAGAGAAATATTTTGTAGACAAAAACTTATTGCAACGAAATTATCATGAATGATTGAAGAGGTGTTTTAATGTATTTTTGTATAAAAAAAGAGTTGAAGAAAAACGAAAAAACACAACTAGCTTTAAGAATCACTGTCGTTAAGGCAAGATTAACGCAAATACACACTTTATCTCGGAATTTTTGTGTAGTATTCTTTCTGTCTTTTTATTTTCTTCCAAAAACAAGTCTTTTAAAGAGAGAAGAGAAATAATAGAGCATAAAATCCGGATAAATTACAAAGAGAAGCAAAAACAAACACACACTTTTGATGAGAACTGTAGCTTTTTATTGAGAATTTTTATTTCTGAAAAGATTTTATTTACTCTTAATTGTAAGTTTCATTTAGTATAAATTTTGTATCACCCTTAAATCTAACTTCTTTGTACATATTACGGATAGAGAATATATTTCTACAGCAAGGAGAATATCATTACAATGAGGAAAAAATGCAAATAAAAATTTTAAACAAACACACAATCGTTTTTTCTCAAGTTAATCTTCATTTTTGGGCGTCTGTGGCTAAGTTATCAACGCGCTTGACTCTCGATGCTACAGTCATATGCTCGAACCCCTCCGAAGTGGTTGCTGTTGAATGTTCCAGCTGAAACATACGCTTCACTGGAATTGTCTTACGCTCTGACCCCTCAATAAGCTGACAATCTGCCACCGTAAAACAAAAACTTGTCTAGATATCTTCTTTAATGGAGAAGGCTGTGTCCCTCAATGGGACGTTAATCTTCGTTTTTCCCTCATTTTTGCAGACTCTCAATTTAAAAGTGTTTCTGAAACACTTTAAAGAGTCAAAGATATGTCGATTGTCCCTTTAAATCCACGCTCACTCAGATGATTTTCTGTTTTTTTTTATAACACTTTCGGCACACACAAAATCCACGCATTTAAACCATTTGAACACAAACAAAACTCCTCAAAATCATGATTAGCATTTCTTATTGAGACTCCTCAGCTTCTTCTTCCTCCTCCTCTTGTAGTTTCCTCCTCTTCTTGGGCTTCGGCTTGAAGCCCAGCGCCGCCAAGCGTCTGCTGATCGTGGATCTGTTCACGCCCAGCATCCTGCCCAGCTCCTGCATGGACATGTTGGGATTCTGCTCCACCAGCTCTTCCAAGTCATAGTCCAGGATCTCGTGGGGTCGGCCGCAGCGCTTCTCGTCCTTCAGCTCGAAGTTCCCCACTTGGAACTTGCGATACCACCGGCGGCACGTGTTGTGATTCACGCTGTCGCTTCCGTACGTCTCGCGGATCGTCTTGTAGGCTTTGCTGGCCGATACTCCGCAGTGGAACAGATGCAGAATGCAGTGGCGATAGTGCAAAGTGTTGCTGTTCTTCTCCATTCTCCGCGCACAGACTGTGTCCTCAATCCTGCAGTTTCCTCTTCCGTCCACTCAAATCGTATCCCAGCGCATTGAGTCGCCTCGCCACCGTCACTCCGGCGACGCCCAGCTTCTGGCCCAGCTCGTGCGTGGTCTGCCACGGGTTCTGCTTCAGGAGCTCCTCCAACTGCTGATCCTGCATCTCCTGGGGCCGCCCCCCGCGTTTCCGGTCGCTCAGGGCGAAGTCGCCCGCCTGGAATCGCACGAACCACTTCCGACACGCATTCGCACTCACAGCGCCCTCCTCCTCGCCATACACCTCCCGGATGATCCTGGCCGCTTCCGCGCCGCTTACTCCGCAGTGATAGAGATGCAAGATACAGTGCCTGATGTGCAGCTTCTGGTGATTTTTCTCCATCCACGAAAAACCCCGCAGTTTGTTTACCTTTTCAGCTGTCACATACCTTTCGAACCCCTCCGCTGACATCCACGGAATTCTCCGCGGACAACCTCAAGACACATCCAACAAGTCGTTCATGTAAATTTATATGATTTTATTTGAAACAAGATTCGAAACGGAAATACTTGTTCTTCTTTTATGTATGTGTAAAAAATAGACAATTTAACGAGATAAGTTAAGATCAAGAAGACACTTAAGATTAACATTAATAAAATGCCGTGCGTTGAGTATGATAACGTCACGCAATAAAGTGAGCAATAAATCATTCGCGATCCATGAGAAGATTGCAATGCAATTCAAAAGAATCACTCGCGTAATTGAGTGATTTCTCACTCAAGCCCCGGCTTAATTGTAACTTATGCAACTATTGTAAAATATAATTGTAATCTCTCTTAGCCATTTTGTTCTTCCACTGGGAATCATTCCGAATTATCTAATATTGTCAATATATTAACTGGTCCTCGAGTGTTGTTGTTGTTGTGTGTTAAAGCTTATGAATAAAAGATTATTTTAGAGAGAATCATCGGAAATCCCTCGCGAATGCGTGCCAATTCCTCCGGAAGATGCAATTTGACGATGTTATCACAGAAGAATGTTAATTCCGTGGGAAGAAAGGCGCTGCAAATGCACTCTTGTGACGCAAATGCGGCAACTGGCCGGCCTGATCCGCCGCTGAGCCCTCCTCATCACTGCCAATGGCCTGCACGTCATAAGCCACACTGTCCAGCTCCACTTTGATCCCCTCCTGCGCCGGTGCGGCGATTTGCTGCTCCTCGGCGGGCATTTCGCCACTCGCGCTCTTCTTCTTCGCCGCCTTCTTGCTCTCCTTGGGCGCCTTCTCGACGCCGGCGGCAGCAGTGGCGGTGTCCGCTTTGGGAAAGTGCGTGTTCATGTGCCTCTTCATGTCGCCGCGCACGCGGAACTTCTTCGTGCAGATCGTACACGTGTACGGCTTCTCGCCGGTGTGAATCTTCCGGTGATTCTGCAGATACGAGCTGGCGCGGAAGGACTTACTGCAGTAGTCGCAAGCGTAGTTGCGCTCGCCCGTGTGAATGCGCCGATGGATGACCAGCGAGTAGCGCCTGGCGAAGTCCTTGCCGCAGAACTCGCACTGGTGATTCTTCTCCTCCGAGTGCTTCGACGTGATGTGATACTTCAAGTCGCCCCACTGGCGGAACATCCGGCCGCAGTGCTTGCACGAGTACGGCCGCACGCCCGTGTGCAGGCGCTTGTGCACCTTCAGGGCGCTGCTGGAGTAGAACGCCTTGCCGCACACCTCGCACTGGTGCGGCCGGTGGCCGGTGTGCGACAGCACGTGATAGCGGAGCGCATTGCGCGAGTTGAACTCCCGCTGACACTCGTCGCACTTCGACAGCTTCTTCCACGTCCTCTTGCCCTCCTCGCCGGCACCCTTTGACGCCTCCTTGGGCTTCCGCTTCCTTAGCCTCTCCTTCCCCTGAGACGCCGCCTCTTGTGTCGCCGCCGACCTCGCACGGCGACTGCTGCGCGTCTTCCGCACCACCTCTGGATTGATCTTTACCACGGCCTCAATTGCGCCATCCTTGAGGTCCGGCATGGCGTCCATGAGCGCCTTCTCGATGACAGTCTGGTTAATCTGCGCCGAGAAGACGGGATTCATCACCAAATCAGTCTTGTTGATGTACAGCACAAAGTTATCGCTCTCCTCGGGCGCATTCAGCTCCTCCTCTCCGTCCTCCTCCGGCGCATACCAATCGCCCAGACCCTCCTGGCTCTCCTCCTCCCCAGACTGCTCCTGCACCTTGTCCACCACGCCCCGGATGCCCTCCAGCATGTCCTCGGGATCGCTGAACTCCTCGTCCAGCGCCACATCGACATCTTTCTCACACTTCCCCTCGTCCACCTGCACGCCCACAGATCTCACCTTTGTCTTGGCCTCATAGTGAGATCTGAGGTGGGAATAGAAGGCAAATTGCTCTGTGAACTTCTTGCCACACAATTGGCAATTGAAACACACCACGCCAGAATCTGGGCTCTTCCTGGGCAGTCTCTTCTTGTGTGGCAGCTCAACCTTCGTCTTCTCCACCCTCAATTCCGCCCTCTCCTCCTCCGGAACACCCTTGTCGCCGTCGCCCTCGCGCTGGATCACCGCCAGCGGTGGCAGAGAATCCAGGGATTCCGCAAAGTTGCTGGCCTGCCGAGCACTCCAATCCTCCCCGATGGGCGTCAACGTGGCCAGGTTGTCCTTCTTCTGGCTCACAATCACCCCATTCTCCTGCTCCTGCTTCGCCGGGAGACTCTGAATGAACGTCGCCACCTTTCCCTCGTGGTCCACAATCACATTTGCATGCTGAAAACCGTTCGCCGGCACGCCTTCCGGCGCCCCAGCTGGCATTACATCCACCACGGCAGCATCTTGGATCTCCATATGTCCCAGAAATGTCTGTTAAGCAAAGAGAAAGGTGAAAAGCACGGTGAAATTGTAATGGTTTACTTTCTCTCTTACATGATCAATAAACTCTTGGTTCCGTATATTCATCACTTGGTACAACCCGCCAGGATCGAGTCCTCGAATGGCGGCAAAGTCCACACTCGAGAAATCACCGTTTTCACCATTTGATTGCATACTTTCTTCACAGCAAACACGAGAAGAAACTGAGAAAAAACTCGCCAAACTCGAGAGCTCGCAGCTTCCAAAATAAATATAAACAGAACACCTGTCACAAGCTGGCACGCCAGTAGCGCTGCAGTGCTTAAATTACACGCCACTTTCTCTGCACCGCAATTCAGTGTGGCGTAGAGAAATGCTTTCTAGTATTCGCAATTGAAGCATTGGTTTAAATCGTTTAAATAGAAAAGCTATTGAAGTTTTATCAGGGATTATAAAAGCACGATTTGGGCCATTAAAGTGGGCAGAATAAAAATAAAACACGAAAACAGTTTAGATTTCATAGAATTTGAGAGAATTGAGAGAATGGATGGCAAATTAGTGTGCATCATTAATTTGTATGAGTTTCCATCGGCTGATTTTCACCTTTCTTTGAGCACAGACGATCGCTTTTCGTACACCAGAAGTGGAGGAGTATTCTACGCGGCTGGCAAGCCAGTGCACCCAACCTCACTTGCCGGAATTTTCTCGCTGCGTGTGCAAATGTCAAGGTGTGCGTCCGCTGATATCGGCCCAGTGATAACACACATTTCCCTGATGTTTATCTAAGTGCTGGCAGTGCTGAGTGCGTCCCCAAGTGTCTCCGTGGCTGTTCGTGGCAAGTGCGCCTCTGCCACGTGTGCGAAATGCAGCTGCAGCTCCGGCTCCTCGGCTTCCTGCTGCTCCTGACCGGCGTGCGGGCGTACGACGTGATCTACGCCCTCAACGCCGGCGGCGAGAGCCACTCCGACCGCCACGGCATCACGTACGAGCGCGACCCGCTGATGGGGAAGGTGGGCACGGCGTCGGACTACGGCAAGAACATCCACATGATCGCGCGCATCGCCGACGCGGACAAGATCCTGTACCAGACGGAAAGGTGGGTTGGCCGGGGCGGCGCGCGGTGGCCAGGAGGGTGACGGTTCTGGGTGCTTGCAGGTACCACACCAGCAACTTCGGCTACGACATCCCGCTGGCCGGCGACGGCGAGTACGTGCTGGTGCTGAAGTTCAGCGAGGTGTACTTCAACGCGCCCAACATGAAGGTCTTCGACGTGGTGCTGAACGGCGAGCACACCGTGGTCAGCGACCTGGACATCTTCCAGCAGGTGGGGCGCGGCACGGCGCACGACGAGTACGTGTACTTCAGCGTGTCGCGCGACCGGCTGTACTACAAGGAGGACGAGTCTGAGATCCGCGACAATCGCGTGCGCGTGGAGTTCATCAAGGGCTTCCGGGACAACCCGAAGATCAACGCGCTGGCGCTGCTCAAGGGCGACCTGGAGGGCATCCCGACGCTGCCGCGCCAGATGGTTGACCCCGATGCGGACTTCTTCGCCGCTCCAGATCCCGTGAAGCCCTCGTCGATGGACAGCTCGTCGCGCGTGCGAAGCGGACCGCCGCAGCCGAATCCCTACTTCATGGACGACTCCTCGATGATGCTCCTGCCCATCTTCATCGCCATCGGGGCCTTCTTCCCGCTCCTCTTCTGCCTCTGCAAGTTGTGATCTGCTCATCCTGCACAAAAAATACTCACGCACGCCTGGCGCGCAGGCGCAAAAGACACACGCGGAACACGTACTTAAGACGCTCCCGGACACTCGCTTGTGTTCTCTAGTGAAAAATCATTCCCGGCGCAACTAATTGCCCTCGGTCATCGAGCTCAATCTCCACGACTGGATTGTCTGTGCAATGTTTTACCTTTTTACACGCATAAATTTAAGTTAAAAAGAAAAAGAAAAAAGACATAACGATAGGAAATAATAATTAATTAATAATAATTTTTTTTTTTGGGAGAAACAGGACGAGGAAAATCCTCAATCCCAGCGCAAAAGTACTAAAAAAGAAAAGTACTGAATTTGAGGGGAAAGTTCTTCTGTATTTAAATTTAAACCACTCTTCTCTCTCTCTCTCTGTCCTTCTGATTTCGACTTTACGTGTGAGACAATTTGTAATTTAAGAATTTGGAATAAATTACCAATGGTGTGTGGATTGTTAAGTAACGCGCAAAGGTCATCAGTCTTTGAGGTGGGTTAGGAACCTCCTGAAGATTCTCCAGCTGAAAAGACCAAGGAGAAAAAAGAAGATAATTTTCCTTTTTTATGAATCTGCCGAGCGTATTTTACGGTCATTGAGCAATTTTCAAAATAAATAAACCCCCATTAAAATGATGATGCGTTCAAATTGTGGAATTCTGCGGTTAGAGTTGCGAAATGATCATGGCGGAAGTCAGTATAGATGAGATGAAAGATGAACAAACAATTTCTCGCACTTCAGCAAGTTTACAATTGCTTCAAAATGAACGATTTGAAGCACAAATTGGCCCAATATTTGGATGAAAAATTGCATTTCTGCTGTGGACGCCATTCACAAACGACGCCATATTATTTTAACCTTACAATTCAGATTGAAACTCTCTGAATTATACGTCACCAATTTTCCTCATCTCTCATCTGCTGAATTCGCAACTCTGACAAAAAAGAACAAACCACTTTCATATACCTACAGTCCGGCGCTCGGCGGCCTCTGAACGTCTGCAATCTCAACGGTTCTCCTTCTGGTCGGCGTGGGTTTCTTGCTCTTCACTTTCTTCACCGGATCGACAATCACAGCCACTGGGATCTGCTCCAGATCCCCATTCCAGGCGTACTTGAACGTCGTGGCCGCCTCGGTGGTCGAGGTGGACGCAGGAGCTTCGCTCTCAGTGCCCAGAATCGTCACAGTTCCCAGAGGTTTGTTGGCGCCGCTCGGCGGTTTTGTGGAGGTGATGAAGATGGGCGGTTTGGAGGGTTTCGTGCCGTTGAAGAGTCCCCACTCGTCGGGCTTCACCGTGAGATGATCATAATCGTACTCATAGTCATAGTTGATGTCGTCCTGGAGCGTGGGAGGGAAAAGGACACGTGAGCTGGCGAAGAAGAAGCTGAGGAAGTGTGAGAAATTTACCCCGACATTCGTGCCCCAGATACTGTCCTTCTGGAAGATGATTGCCACATCTTTGATATTGAACTGGATGTTGAACTTGCCGGTCTGGCGCTGATCCACAGTTGCATTGAGGGGAAAACCACTGACACAGTAGCACAAGAGTGCAAAAAGGGAAATGCTCTCTACGCAATTAACCATTTCTCCTCAAGTAAGAGTGATGCTTCTTTTCACTATCGTCCGAACCGCCAGCCGCTTCGCACCGGAGTGACGACGGTGGATTGCAATTCCTCCTCCCGTTATGCTCTATCTCAGAATCGGTTCTTCTTCGCTGGATCAGGTTCATTCACCTCATCTCTTCACCTTCGACGCCACCGAAGGCGGCGAAGATGAAGAAGACACTCTCGCGGCGATGATCCGCCGCTCAGTCACCGTAACGGCACATTCCGTCTCATCATTATGCTCATCAATGCAAAATAAAGGCAAAATATACCCGATATACCCACTTTTTCCTCCACAGCCACGTGCTGCGGGCTGTTAACTCGCCGACATTCAAAATTGGCCGACAGGTTTTTGGAGGGAAAACGGGCGAACAGCAAAACCGCCAACAGTGCAGCAACCTGCCACCAGTGGCGTTGGCTTGTCATGTTTTGGTGTACATGCGGTGGCTTTCCTCGGCGAAAATCCACATTTTCCACGCGATTTCAGTGATAAAATGGTGTGTTTTGAGTTAATGGACACTTCTTGTGTTGACATATTGGATGAGACAGTGAATAGTGGCAGAATGCTGGACGATTCAAGTGAATTTGAGGATCTCCTGATCCGCCAGGTTGCCGGCGGAAGTATCACGGATTTCCCCCCTATTTTCTCACAGGACGAAGAGTGAGTATCCCTAGGAGGACTTCTGGAGTCCCATTCTATCATTTACCCACAAATTCATGCGGAATTTGGACGAAATCAGCATTCTGGCCAGATCACCTAACCTCACTTTTCCTCCGGCAGAAACATCCTTCTTGTGTGGAATAACACCGTGAGGGTGTTCAATGTGACCACCGGTGAGTGGGTCCGGGACCTGGAGAAGACAGATGCGGACCTCGTGGGGATTGAATTCGATCCGACAAACCCCAAATTGCTGATTGGCTGCACGAGAAGCGGCGAAGTTGTGACATGGAAGTGGAAATCAGGCATCAAACATGAGAGAATCGTGAGGAAATCCTTCAATTTAAAGGCTCTTAGCACACAATTAATGCGCTATCTTCCTTGCAGAATCTCATGATCTCTAGTGTGAACTTCTGCGTGAAGTCTTTCAACGTGTTTGAGGGTCAGGAAGGGAGTTTAGAAGCTGTGGTTGTTTATTTTTACGATAAGGACTCAAAGATAAAACTGGACGTCTTCCGACTGACCAATGGAGAGAGTCTCAATGCTTTCCCGGCGAAATTCAATGCTCTGAAGTAAGATAATGGGAAAAATCTCCTACTTTGACTGTTTCTATCGTCAGCTTTTCTCTTCCAGGCCACGTTCTTTCAAGGTCTTCATGAGCAACCGCCAGAAGATCTTTGCTCTCATCCAGCGTCACGTTGTCTATGTTGGGAATTTGGCGACGGGGAAGCGCAGATTCCACAACAATCCTTACGGTGCCTTCTTCACCACAATCGCCATTCATCCCACAGCGCCAATCATCGCCACCGGAGATTTGGACGGGAAGGTGATTCTCTGGTCAGACACGGACACTTTCGATCCCGTGCGAACGGTTTATCACTGGCACTCGGCGGCCGTGAAGTGCATCGCCTTCACGGAGTCCGGATCGCACTTCTTCTCCGGCGGCGCCGAGTGTGTGTTGCTCAAGTGGACACTGAACAGACCAGAGATGAGGAGCTTCCTGCCGCGCATGCGAGGAGCCGCTCATCATGTCTCCGTCGGGCCGAAGAATCAGCAAATTGCCGTGGCGCTGAGTGACAATGGAATTCAACTGCTGGACGCCAATATGGGATTGAAGGCTCTGATTCAGAACTTCTCCCACGTTGCCGATGACTTGACGGGTGAAATGCCCTTCCCAGCGGGCCTGAAGATCAATCCTCGGAACAATAGCATCGTGTTGAACGGACGAACAGGACATTTGCAGTTCTTTTCGCCGCACACGCGGAGTTTTCTCTACGATATCGACATCACGGGTGAGAATCAACTCACGCCGGAGCCAATGAACATTGTCTACAACACGAGAGTGACAAAAGTGGCGATTTGCCTGGACTGGATGGCAACGGCTGAGTGTTGGAATGATCATGAGCACTTCCCACAGACCAGACTCAAGTTCTGGGCTTTCAGTGCTGAGAAGCAGATCTTCAGTCTGATGACAGACATTCAGATGCCGCACGAAAAGTCCATCACGGCGCTGGAATTCTCGGGAATCTACACGACAGAGAAAGTCGTGTGCGCTTCTGCGGGCGGAGATAATTGCGTGATGACGTGGAATTGCGAAAGTGCCAGGAAGAATCCCACTTGGAACAGAGCGGGAAAGATTAGCTACCGGAATTATCCGATAAAGAGCTTGGCTTTCTCTCAGGACGGCTCTCTTCTGGCCGCAGGATTTGGGCATGTTTGCGTGGTTTACACAACTGACGAGCTGATCATCAAGGCGATCTTCAGTGCGCCTTCTGGCCTGGATGGTGGCATTGGGAAGGTATCAGTCTTCTCGCCAGCACCAGAAGATGTCAATGGTGAAAGCACGCCGGCGAAGAAGCTGAAGAAGCGCGATGAGCGTCAGAGACGCCGAGCAATTGAGTTGATTCAAGCGTATTTGGAGCAGAAAAACACTGAAGATCTCGTGAAGTTCATCAAAGATGAAGCTCTTGAGAGCAGAATGACTTCGTGCAGGAGGAAAAGGGATCAAATTGACGATAAGGATGTGTTTCAGAAGATTATGACACTGAAGGATTTGAATTTGGATCAGAAATTGGAGATTTTGCGGCAATTGGAGATTTTCTGCAGAGTGAATAAGCCATCGAAGGAGCGACTGAAGGAATTCCTTGAGAAATCTGAGACACTCTCGCATGATTTGGACAAGATTGTCGAGAATACTGCTTCACTCTTGGCTGACAAGCACAAGTATGCGAAGAAATCTTACTTGTGGCATCTGAAGAGACGTCGTGAGTGTTATCAGCGTGGCAAAGAGAGCAAGAATGCGAAATTATCGCAGATTCTCTTTGGGAGTGTGCAGGAAAAGCCTGTGCAGAATGGGAATTCTGGCGGCGAAGCAGCTGAAGAGGATGGATTTGGTGCTTTTCCCCTCACGGAAGTGGCGGAAATTCAAACTGTGACCTTCTCATGTGCCGAATTTGCTCATCTGTTGATTGTGGCGACGAAGAATCGCGTGCTGATCTGGAATTTGCTCACGCTGAAGCTGCAGAGTGTGCTGAGAGTGTCTGCTGTGTCCGTGAGTGTGGATAGAGTGTCGGGATTGTTGGCTGTTTTCACGCGATACAACAATCTGTATGTTTTCCTGCCAAACACACCACTTCCGCTCTATCATCGCCGTGATTTGCCCAACATCTACGATGCTGTGTGGATTCCGAGGCGAGATCCGCGAAGCACATCGCTGAACATCGATTGGCAGGCGAATTCGCAGCTGTTCTTCCTCACGGAGCAGCAGCAATTGCTGCAAATGGTGGCGCAAAATGACGAGGATGACTTGTCGCCGATGGTCACGTTCCTCAGCGAGGCGAACACTGTGCACAATTACACGCCGTTCGGCGCGATGATCGCCAAGCAGATGCAGCAGAAGGCGCAACACGGCGGCGTCGCACTGCCGACGGGAATTCTCGGGAAGTCAGATGTGAACGAGGTGAGAGACAGCTTTTGGATAAATACTTTATTCATAGCGCTTTAGTTGTAATCTCTGGTGGATTAGAAATTCTACTGACAACAAAACACTTAAGCTTACAATAATTCTTCAGTATATATATATATATATTATGTTATGTATATATATAGAGATACTGTGGTGGGACAAGTTTCACACATTTCTTAGACGCTTTCCATTAAGTTTGATGATAATAATTTTCCTCTTAACAACAAAAAGAAATGAGATGGCGAAAAAATAGTTACAATCTTCCTTCAATCATTCAATTTCTCTCTGACATTTTGTCCACGCTAAAATAAATTATGCACAAAATAAAAATACAATAATCCTAAATATCTCTGCAAAGGTAAAAAAAAAAATACACACCATAAAAAAGAGGTTAATTTGAAAAATAGTGGAACGGAATTTATTCTTCATTCTCGCATCTCAACATCTCTTGCATTAATTAATCGGGAGAATCGTGTTTCTCTTTTTCTTCCTTTCTCTCTTGGGAGACATTGCGAAAAATAATTAAATTCGTCATGACAATTGGCAATTAAATAAAAGGTCATTTTAGGGGGGAGTGAAAAAAAAGGTATTTACAAAGTAATATCACAAAAATATGCCCTAGAATTGGTGCTGCTGAGAAGTTAGCCGTGCGGAGACAAGGGAATTCGGGGCGCTCGGAAGTGCCTTCATTCGATTGGCTTCCGGAACATTGGCACTCTGTAGTTGCGGCAGCGCCGCATCAGGTGGATGTCGTGCTTGAAGTAGCGCAAGCAGTGCCACTGAGGAATCTCCATCATTGTCTGTGTCATTTGCTGCAAGCGAAGATGGAAAGGAATTAAGAAATTGCATTTTCTAATTCGGCGGTTGAAGTGATAGGATTGAAAGATTGAATTGAATCATTTAAATATGTCTAATTAGTCTGTAATAATTATTTTCTGCATTTTTTCAGTACCTTTAATTGGTATTTATTGGATTTTTTTTTAATGGAAAATAATAATATTACTGTCCAAAATCGATTTATACTAGATTTTAAGTACATTTTATCCAAATAACTTCTAAAAAAAGGAACTTTTTATACATAAAAGGCACTTTTTGAGGGTTTCCAATTGAAAAAAATAAAAATAATTAGGAAATATTATATTAATTCAATGTCTAAGAACATTTTAAGGAAATTTTAACATTAATATGTTTACTAAAAAGACAGTTTTTATCGATAAAGTGTCAATTTTTCATAGTTTTACGCCGCAAAGTATAAAAATTTTTACTTGAAATTCTTTTTAACAAGTAATAGAACAGAAAAAGAGCTTTTCAAAAATGCATCCGTCAAATTAGAAGGAAAAATTCACAACTTTTTTTCACATGCAAAAAGCCACAGAGTTTATATTTCACCCTCGCTGGAATCAGACATGTTATTAATCCTGTCCAGACTCGCTGTTGATACAAAATCCCTTTTTTCTACATGTATTGTTGTAAATTGTAATTGTCCCTTCTTCGCCACATTTTTATCCCATGAACACATTTTCTCTGTTTCTGGCAACTTTCTCTGGTGTATTTTTACCAATTTTACTCATTCATTCATTCATTTGACATGGGAATCAGAAGAGAAGCTGAAGAAAAAATCCCGCGCATAAAATGAAATATATATACAATTCCCAGTGGACAAACACAGTTTTGAAGGAACCTGACGAGAATTTTGATTTCATCAAATTGTTGCGCAAAAACTCTTTGATTGCGATATGTTATGATATACGCAAGTCGAGGGTTGAAAAGTCAATTGTGAATGAAAAATATACATTTTCTCGTGTTTGGAATGAAAATTTTGTGTGGGAAAATCTCTTTCCTGTTGCTTTTCATAGACTTTTCATTGTGTTCAGCATTGAATATTGTTGGAAAAACAAAGTTTCATTCGATAAATTGATAACGAATCCCTCAAAATTCTCTTTTATGCAATTCAATGGGTGAATTGAAAATTATGAAACGTCTTAGAACCAAAAAAAAATCTTGAAATTTGTATTTTTGGGGGCAATTTTCCTAAGAAAATTTACTCAAATTGCAGTCATTCGCAGAAAATGTCTCCCAAAATGTTTTGCATACTTTAAATAAATGAGAAAATATGGTTTATTTTTGATTTTTATAATACAGAACTTTGAAAAAACTTATGAAAAGTATTAAAAATTGATTTAATATGTCTTGTTTGGACAAAATGCACTGAAATTCTATTAAAAATCGACTTTTGGAGACTAATATTTTCAGTTTATCTATTAACGTTGCCATATTTTAGTCAAAATTCAAATAAATCCCAATAAAATCAACTAAAATATAAACAAAATAATAAAATTCTGCAAATTTCACAGTGAAATCAGTGCTAAATATTCAACTCACTGTCCTGAAAAAAATTACAATGTGGAATTTTAATAGTTTTTCTATTCACTCGTTGAATTTGTCCATTAAATATATATATATAACGTCTTTACAATTTCACCAGAAGACTCAGAGAAAAAAAAACCCTCAAAGCGTCTAATTATTTATTAATTACTTACAACAGAGATTTTCTGTGAAAAACGTCAGCAAAATTACAGTTTAAGGCAGATTTAAGGGCAAATAATCTCTTCTAATGCGGCAAGAAGACGAAAGCTGCTCAATAATTTACGAGTACGTGGCTTTCTTTGCGTTTTGCCCCACTTTCCCCTACAGGGATGAAATAACAATACTCGCTTGGCTTTTTGTGAATTTTAATGAGTTACTGAACAGAATTCACAGACGCTGTATCTTCTTTCAGTGCCCTTTATAATTGACTGGTGAATTTTCTGGGAGCCTTTTTGTATGTCTTCACGATTGATTTCAGTTCACTCTTTCTCGAGCATCGCAGTGAAATATATCGTGCAAATTCATCACGCTGTGTTTGAGTGAATAAATGTTACAATTAAAGTCCAACCGGACGTGAGTCACAAGAGTGGCAATTTTCTCAACAAATCTATTTACAACACGACTCGTGATTATCAATTCTGTAAGTTTCATAACACTTCAACTCGAAGATTGTATGATTTTTGGGGGTGGAAAATAATACTCACGACTTTGGGATTCGAGACTGGCCATCCAACGGCCGCCTCGACGCAAACGACAGCAATCCAGAGAATGAAAATTAATCCAAGTATTTTCATCTCAAATTCCTTCACACAAAATTCAACTGGTTTAAGAGCAAAAAAAAGCGCGCGATTTTCCACCAATTTGGCACTTATTTAATATTGAAACTGTGATAAGAATGCAACACTTTATCAACCCTTTCTTGAAGCACAAGATGCTGAATTATAGCCAACAAGAGACAGAGAGAGAGAGAGAGAGTGCTTTGGATGGTCGAATGTGGAGCACAAATGTAAATTTATGTGTTATTCTGAGGAGAGTCGAGTTGCAATTGATCATTGGTGTGTCTGGATCCCTTTTATATATTGTAGTCTCGTTCATCCTCCGCGCTCTGGCGCGTTGGAGGGAATTTTGCGTCAAGGTGGAGAAGATTCTCTGGGGTGGGGGGAAAAAGACACACACACACAATTCGCTGCAGAAGAGCTGAAAGAGTGTGACAGAGAAGGGGAGAAAAAATGTTATCAGAGAAGAAAAAAATTGAATTTTCCTTCCTCAATTCGCATTCATGTCTTCTTTTTCACCCTTTCTTCTCATCTTTCACGAACGTGAGTTCACGACCTGTGTTCATGCATTACAAAAGGATTCCAAGAGTGGATAATTCGAAGAAGAAAAAATTAATTGCTCACCTCTTTTAATCAAGAGTTTAGCGTCAATTAAGTGACTTTCACAGAAGATAAAAACTCTACAAATCGTAAAAGTTTTACAACAATTCTCAACGGTGTGAAAATATTATTAATTGAGTGACAAGTTGAGAATAAACTTTACAATTTTCAACACATAAAGTCCATAAAGTTTTCTATTTATAGAATGTCTCGCGAACTCAGAGATTGCAGCAAAATTCATTGAGTGGCAAAAGATTGGGTCTTCAATGAAAGTCTGATGCAAGAGAAAGTTACAAATGTGCTGAAAAAAGGACTCCAGAAGTTAATGAAATAGCTGAAGTTTCTGCTGAAATTAATGTCAATTAAGTGGCGAGATTGTGTAATTTTTGTGGTGGAGACAAATTATCAGTCTTTGTCATACTTTCTCACCAATATTATTCCTCTCTATCTTGTTGTCGTGAAATCACGCGCGCTCAATGTGAAATGCTCAGGATTTTTCCGACACAAAACCAACTCGAAATGGACAAGAAAATTGCCCTAGAAACATGATGAAAAGATGTCTTTGTAGACTTTTGGGGGATGAATTTTGAGTCATTTATGATCTTGACTTTGAAAATTTCTCACAGACCAAACAAAAAGTTTGTTATCAGTGAATTTACTCTTGGTATTTGGACGAAGATCTCTGATTTTGAGAACATTTATTATCTTTCCTTTCTATTTACTTTCTGAGAGAGCATCACATGAAAAACATTGAGCGAAAGTGTTTTTGACTGGCGCGCGTTTAGATTGAAGATTAAATAGCGCGAGAGAGATGAGATTTTTGCATGAATTGTGCATGGAAGAAGAGTGACAATTTTGCGGGAATTGCTTACGCAAGGCCTAATCGCAATTTCCCATCATTGTTTGTTCATTGAACTTTAGTATAAGATGAAGTGTTGTGATTTTTCTAATGCAAAATTTTCCTTCAAATCTCCACAGCTTATCAACTCAATACCACATGCGATGGCTCCGGTGCGATTGCTGAGCAAGAGCTTCCTCAAATCTCTGCTGATAACGACGACGACGACGATGAAGAAGAAGGCGGAGAGCGACGAGAAGTTTGACAAACAGTCACCGGTTGAGTCCGCGAGTGTGCCGATGGGCGAGGAGGAGGCCAGAATCGAGGAGAGGGTGGAGAAGATGAAGATGCGCGAGATGAGGAATAGCGAAAAGGGAAGAGTGAGCGAGAACGAGGTCAGTCGCGATGATAAATTGAATCAAATTGCCAAAAGTTGCGTGCAATTCGAGATGTGAGAGTGGCGGAATAAACATGAGATCTTGTGAGAACTCCTTTGGATTTTGCAATCTATTTTCTCTCTCTCCAAATTGAATGCATCCGCGAGTGGGCAATAAATAATAGAGCACAATCCCCAAGTGTTAACGACAGACAGCGCTCGCTCGCTTATCAGACCGTGGATGATGGGCAGAGAGAGATGCCCTCCTGCGTGCGCGCTATCTTGACGTCTGCGAAGCGACTCATTTGCAGTCAAATGAGGACAGACAACATGGCGAGGAGGAGGAGAAGGAGGAGTAAAGAAAAAGCGTCAATTGCACGGATGATGAGAATCTCCTGCGGATTGGACAGTTGTGACGCGTGTTGCGTGTCAAATGCAGCATTTATTTTTGTACTAATTAACCGCCCATTAGGAGCTTATGGGATGATCGCCGTGCGCTCAGCCATGTGACCCGAGCAGAGATGCTGCAGCAGCTCCTCCATCACCTCCGTCACGTAGTCGTGGTAGAAAGCGTCGAGATGCATGTTCTCCAGGACGAAGTCGTTTCTCTCTGCATTGCAGACGCGGTGGTACTTCTCAGGGTCGCTCTTCTGCAGCTGCACGAGAATGCCGGGCGTCAGGTGAGTCAGTGGCGCGTACACGCAGTTGAAGACGAGCGGCAGCAGGGCGTAGTGAGTGCAGGATTGCCGGAATTCCGCCCACGGAAGCTTAACGCCGGCGTCAATCCCGTACTTCTTCAGCTCGTCGCGCAGGAAGTCGTGATAGAACTTCAAATACTCCTCGAAATGCTCATCGCGATGCTTGCGGCGAGTGTTGAAGAAAATCGTGAGCAGCACATCAACGGCCGGCGGTTGATAGCGACAGATCTGGAAGTCCATGAAGAGACAGTGCTGTGGATTGTCGTAATCCCACTCGTCGCTGCCGTGGCGCTTCGGGAACTGGAACATGATGTTCTTGCTCCACAGATCCCGATGGCAGAGGACATTCTGGTAGTCTCTGGTGGAATACTGAAACTCATACACCTTTTCCATCATGTCCATAAGCTTATCGCCGTCACGGACAATTGCGTGATCTTTGAACTTTGACATTCGCTCCGCGAAGACCTTCACGACATTCAGGCCAGCCTTGAACCACGGATTTGTGCCGGATATCTGAGATTCGAACAAGAGACTCCCGAAAATTGCGTCAATTCTCGTGTTTTCACAGTGATTTATCTCAAATTCCAGACTCGCCGCGTGCATTCTTGCCACACATTTCAGCGTTTCCTGCATGTGTTTCCGCGTGAACTCCATGCGATCGGGAACATGACCGAATCCCAAGTGTCCCAGCTCTTCCATGATCAGCAGATCATATCTGGACAGGTAGCAATTTGGTCTCCACTTTGACGAGCCTAAATCAAGATTGGGAATTGTTAGTGAGTTCAAGGGGGAGATATAATGGGCAGGAGTCTTAGAAAATTGATGAGTTTTGAAATTCTGATCACTTCTTTGAATTTCTATTTATTTTACTCACAGAATTCAATTATCATCAAAAAATGGCATCTTTTATCATCTTGATATGTTTTTCTGAGTTATTTACGCTCTTAACTTAAGCATAACCTCAAATTTTACATCTCAATGTTGAACTTTGAAGGATTCTAATCGATATCCTTTGAGAAAATTCAGTGTTATTCCCCAATGTTCGAAGAGGAAGGAAATCGTCAAATATTGTCTGCAAAAATTCAGTTTTAAAAGTTGTGAGTTAGATTTAAGTTAGTTTTCAGGTGATGAAATTGAAATTAGTCATTTTCCTAAATATTGATCTATTCTGAGACTCCTGGGAAGGTTTGAGGTTTTTCACACAAATTGTGGAAGTGTTTTTAGGCAAATTATCTCCCCCTTTTGCTAAGATCTTCTGCCAAAAGCCATGAAATTGCTAAGGCTTAACCTGTATTCCACTTGAGCTTCGGCAGCAGAATTGAGTACAGCTGCACTTCCTTGTGAAAGAGCCCAATCCTCTCGAGCAGCTCCCGCTGATCCTTGTCCGTAGGCAGAGCTTTCAAGAAATAGTACAGCTTTCGCTCGCCGGAATCCTTCAGCGCGCCGCACAAGCAATGCGCCAAACGATAAGAGAGGGTTTATTATAGAATTAAGCATAGGCCAATCCAGCCTTCACCTACTTCGGCAATCGTAATGGCCAATCTGAAGTACTCGCCCAGGAATCCAAGAATTTCATCACTCGCCGCCTCAATGGCATAATCAACGACGCGAACTTTGTCCAAATTCAGCGTCTGACTGACAATTTCCACGCACTCCGCGCGCGTCACCAGCACCACTTCCTGTTTTCCCGCCGCTTTTCCACTCGCCATCGCACTCGCGCGCGCCCCGATTGATTAGTCAAATGTCCGCCTGAGACACACAAATCGTCCAATTAACACCGCAGCTTTTCCACACACTGACTTTCTTGGCGCTGGAACAGCTCAGGCGGGCTCGCACTCTCCCCGTCTTATCTGCACAGCACAGTGCAAAGTGTTTATTGAAGATACAACACAGAACAATCAGCGTGTCTCTATGCTGAACACAAATTTGTACTCGTTGTGAACATTTGAGTGCGCGTTTAGAGTAATTGAACTCAATTATTTGAGACATTCACACACAATACCAATGAAGATCAAATCAAAGCAAATTATTTGCTGGTCAATTAGCAATTTATGCAGAATTGAGATGCGATTGCCCTCTTCTGAGTGACGATAAAATAATCTTTTCTGAGAAAATTTCGCAGATAAATCTGCAATTGCTTGCATTTTTGAAGTCTTTTGTTGTTTTCTATTAAGAGAAATCAATCTACATATTGAAGATTTCTTCCTTCTCAACTAGAATTATCTATATTGGGTAAATTTGTATCAATTTTAACAGATTTTAAACACTTTCTAGCTCAGATCTTGCCAAGTTTTGAGCAAGAATTAAAAAAGAGCGATTTTCATCAGTAATTTGGTTGCTAGAAATGGTTCAGAAGATCAATTAAGCATTCAAATAAGGAGAAAAAGACATTTCTTTACAGTCAGTGATCTTTCCTCCCAAGTCGTAATCGAGTTTTGAGAGCTTTGAGTGCTTTTGAGCTATTTGCATGGACTTTCGCTTAGCTGTAGACGAAGATAAAACTACAGCAAGTAAATATTTGCTAAAGCTAAATGCGATGGAATTAAGAAAATTTCTCTCACAATTGTCCCTGCGACATTGAAAATTTTCCTCACTATATAGCCAAGAAGAAAAAAAAGGCTCCCGACTTTTTGGCAACTTCCCACACTCGCCAAACTCCTGTATATCATTCCAATAACAAAGACCCATCAGGCGGGGGATTAGGACTTATCGTCTCTCCCGCTGACATGATCAACAAATGCGCGAATTTCATCACGATGATGATGGAATTGATCACGACACACTATTGCACAGCCCGTTGTGCCCTATTATCGCCACATGTGTCGTGATCCTCTGGCAAACAACGTTAGTGGTGCTCTCTTGACATCGTCTTTGTCAAGAGATAAGACGGCATGAAAGATTTTACATTTTGAGTATATCTGATTTACGTGAGACCCGTGCCTCTTATTTACCATAGAAGGTGGCTTATAAGCCACTCTGTTCGTCTGCAGCGACTCAGTTGAGTGAGAATCATCAACAAAATGTGCAATCTTGAGGATATCAATCTCACGCCAGACGACATTAAGATGATCTGTCGTCGTCATCTGGTCAGGGAGACGTGCAACTATCGCAAGTTTCACATCAACACGTGCGAAGTGGAGGCGCTCGGCGACGGTCCGGCGGGTTTCCTGGCACACCACTACATCCTGACAGTGGATATCAGTGAGAAGATCGTGGGCTACAGTGACGAGAAGAGATCCATCAACGGTAAGACGCTGTCGTTCTTCGTGAAAGTCTTCCCGGACGATGTGCAGGAGCAGGCGGAGTACGCAGATGAGATGAAGGTGTTCCAGAAGGAGATTGATCTCTACTCGTATCTCCTGCCCAGACTGCAGGACATTGGAATTGGGGGGAAGGAGTGGGCGGCACAGTCCTACCTCACCAAAGATGACAAGATTCTGGTGAATGAGAATCTCAAAGCTGACGGATTCGAGATGGCTCTCAACACCACCGGAGCTTGTCGTCTCGATTTCGATCACTTGTCCATCGCCCTTGACATCCTGGGCAAATTCCATGCGTGCGGATTGGTGCTGGAGGATCGATGTCAGACGCCGCCGACGCAAATGTATCCGGATTGCTTCGAGGAGAACGCCTATCCGGACGAGGAGGATCACATTCGCATGGTGGGACTGAAGAATGCCATCATGACGCACTTGGAGCTGATCAAGAGAATCCCCAAGTATCAGGACAATCAACTGCTGACCACAATTCTCGAGGAGTATCCCAAGATAGTCATGAAGATTGTGGACTACGTCAAGACGTCGGATCAGTTCAGGAATGTTGTGAGTCATGGAGATTTGTGGGCAAATAACATCATGTTCAAGTACGAGGAAATTGGTGAGGAGAAGAAGGTGCCGAAGCCCGTGGATTGTCGTCTGGTGGACTTCCAGTTGGTGCGCTACGCTCCACCAGCTCTGGACGTTGTCACGCTGATTTGCAACACAACCGACAGTGGCTTTAGAGAGGAGAATCTCGAGAAGCTCCTTGATGGATACCACAAGAGTCTGTGCGGGGAATTGGGGAGATTTGGCATTGTTCCCGATGACATAATCTCCTGGGAAGACTTCCTGCAGAGCTATGAATACTACAAACTCGCTGGACTGATTGAGAGTGTCCTGTTTGGCCACTTGACGGGACTTCCTGCGGAAATTGCCAACGAACTCTTGGGCTCATCGGAGAAATTTGGTGATTTCATCAAGAGCAACACGCGCATCAAGTTTTGCATCAAAGCTTTTGAAACTGACGCCGGCTATCGTTCACGATTGACTGACTCATTCTGTCAAATCATCGATAATTACATCCTGTAATATTTGGTAATTCAGAGGCAATAAATTTAGTTGATTGTGGGAAAATATCCCACATGACTCTCATCTGAAATTCACTCTGTTATCTCATGGCAATCAATTACCTGGATTGGAACACAAAGGATATTGATTTCCCTGTGATTATGATTGAAGGTACAAGAGCCCACAATCCTTCGGGCCATTTTCATTCCCTCGCCAACCCTCAACTCGAGAGATAAGTGGAAAATCATATTGAATTCACGTGAAATGGGATTCAGAGACATTTGGAAGGAGTACATGAAGAACTCTTCTCTCCATGGAGCTAAATTTATCGTTGACGAAAGATATCAGCACTCAGAGAGGTATTTTTTAATTTGCACTCCTTCATTTCGCGCTCCCAATTTAATCAATTTCCACTTTAGATTTTTCTGGGTCGTGTGTGTCTTTGCCTCCTGGATGGCATCGGGTCTTCTCATTCGAGCGTCTCTCGGTAACCACCAGAGAGTTTCTTAGTGGCAAAATTACTCTATAATCTTCGCTTCTCTTTAACGCCTTTGTTGCAGATGCTTTTCAAAATAATGCCATTAGTTTTGTGGTGGAAACGTCATTTCTCAACTGGAAAACCCACTTTCCCTCAATTGCTGTGTGCGAAACGAAGAATTCTGACAAGATTCAAGAAATTTCAGAGCTGTAAGTTGTTCTCTTATCGCCTAAATATACACACTCAACCGCATAATAATCTCATGCAACTCAAATGCAACTCTCCCTTCCATGAACTTCTACATAAAGATTGTGGGGTGTGGAGCATGATTTCACGCTGGAAGAAGTTCTCAGCGAGATAACTTACTTCCGTGGTGAATCTTATCACTTGGTGCACGAGTGCGCCAGCGATGAACCCATCGCCAATTGCCTCTTCTCCGACTACATCAAGTACGCGCGACTAGTGCGCAGCGACTGCTCGAGAACCCTGAAGGAGTGCCAGTGGAATGGCGAGAGGAAATTCAATTGCTGCGATTACTTCTTCCCAATGGACTCTGAGCTCGGCACTTGCTATGCCATTAACTCCATTCAAACAGAGTGAGAGAACACATCAGTGCAACATGAGTGCACAATCCAATTGATTCCATCTTTTTCTACACACAGAAACCCCAAGAAGATGAAAATGCCAATGATTTCTGACAAATATTCAGGACCCGGAAGGCTCACCATGGAAATTCTCACAGAAGCCAATGTAAGATGAAAAGCCTTTTTCCTCTTGACAAACGCAAATTGAATACATTTTTCTCCTCCCCGCACAGATTTATATTCTTGGCGAAGAAGATGTTCCACATTTGGTCACCCCAAAGTCAGAAATGCTAGCAGTCACGCCTCACATTTCATACTAGTAAGTCAATCTATAATCCACTGGCCAAATGATCAGCTTAACAGTGGAACAATCAGTCGACAGATCACGATGAAGAACATTGAAAATGATCCTGAGACGCGTGACGTGAATGTGGCGCAGAGAAGCTGCAGATATCCTGACGAGAACATCCTGGACGTCCACGAATCCTACAGCTACAGCGCCTGTTCTGTGCAATGCCGAAAGGATGCTCAGCTAAAGATCTGCAACTGCACAAGTCACTTAATGCCCAACGTTTGTGAGTGTTATTTACGCATTTCAATCTGAACTTTGCAAGTTAGATGATGAGTTACTTCTGCATAATTTCCGCCTCCTTTCCATGGTGGTTTAACCGTGAAAATTACTCGGGAAACTTCATCGTGTGTTTTGAAAACAAGCACAAATTGTGTGTGTCTTCTCCATTTCCATTCCCTCAAAATAGCTCCTCATTTGCATTGCAACATCAGCGGCTTGAAGTGCCTCAACGAGCACTACGAGGAGCTGTCGATTGTCATCCCCAAGTGGTCATCGCACGGCCGAAAGGGGGTGGTTTGCGATTGTTTGCCCTCATGCACAGAAATTGATGTGTCTATCGTGCACGACTCGAAGAACAAGTGAGTTGTTGACTCCCTCTTGCCACAACATTCCAGCTAATGGATGTTTGTCCACCCACGCAGGGGCTCAATGGATGCCTCGAGGGGCGGCAATCATCAGGCTGTGGCGCAGGTGGAGATTGAACTTTCAGCCCTGCCGACGGAACGTTACAAGAGAAACGTTGTTCGAGGCCGATTGGATTTAGTCGGTGAGTCGCCATGGGCAAAGATTTCACAATTTTGAGAAAATAGAGAAATGACGATAAAAAAATCCGCGCAATACTTTACATATGTTCTTCACGACGTCACCCGGTGTTTTATCATCGTCAAAACACTGCGTGTTTTATACAAAAAGAATAGAGAAGCTTTATCTAGCCGCGCGAGAGTCAACATTCAGCAGTTTCGTCGCGGTGGCTTTGCTTGAATCAAGTCAATTTCGGGCGTGTGTTGTGATTAAGTGCGGAAGCAATGTTTTTCCTTCTAACATTTGTCAGTGGAGTGGTTATTGCCATCTACGTGTACTTCACGTGGCACTTCGATCACTGGGCGAAGAAGGGAATTCCTGGTCCGAATGCCAGATTCTTCTTCGGCAACTTTCCCAGCAATGTCACACAGGCGAGAAACATGGTCTATGATGCCCATGACATTTATCAGTGAGTGTATTTTTGGCTCTTGCTTTTCCTTATCATTGCTGAACTAAATATAAAACTAATCCCCGCCAGACAGTATCGCGATAAGTTCAACTTCGTCGGATTCTACCACATGCGCTATCCAGGATTGATGGCTCTCAATCCTGAGACCGTGAAGGAAATTCTGGTGAAGAAGTTCAAGAACTTCCATGACAATGAATTCGCTGACATGGGCGACAAAGACGTGGACAAGATGTTCAGCAGGAATCCTTTTATGCTGCAAGGCGAGGAATGGAAGGAAAAGAGAGCGGAAATCACGCCAGCTTTCACTCCTGCCAGGGTTAGACAATTGATCACGGTGTTAATTCACTGTCTAATCATAATTTCACTCTTCCTAGATAAAGTCACTCTTCCCAGTGATTGACGATGTGTGCAAGAAAATGAACAACTACGTGAAAACCAACAATCGCGAGGCAATCGAAGCGAAAGAATTGTGTGCAAAATATGCCACTGATAACGTTTCGAGTTGCATCTTTGGCCTGGACGCTGAATCGTTCACCAAAGAGAAGCCATTGATCAGAGAAATGGGCATCAATCTAATGAATCCCTCCATGACAGCCATTCTCTACTTCATCCTCATCGAAGTGCTGCCCTTCATGCGGCATGTCATCAAAATGTCCTTCGTGCCGAAGAAAGTGGAGGAATTCTTCGTCAATCTGATGAAAGACGCCATTCAGACACGCAAGAGGGACAAGATTGAGCGAGTGGATTTCCTTCACTACCTTCTGGAGTTGCAGGAGAGGAAGAACTTGGCTGAAATCGACATGGTGGCACACGCTGTGACATTCTTCCTGGACGGCTTTGAGACTTCCAGTGTCGCCATGTCTTATGCTCTCTACGAATTGGCCAAGAACTCAACAATTCAGGACAAGTTGAGGCAGGAAATCAGAGAAACTGAGCTCAAGCATGGCAAAATCACTTTCGATCAGCTCCTGGAGATGCCTTATCTCGATCAGGTGATGATGGAGACTTTGCGAAGACACTCACCGGCGCTTCTGCTGTCCAAGAAGTGCACAGAAAGTTGCCAATTGGAGCTGATTGACGGTGAGCCGAAAACCATCGACAAAGGCATTTCCATTATGATTCCTGTGCGCAGCATTCATCTCGATCCGCTGCACTATGATAATCCTGAGGCATTCGATCCCGAGCGCTTCAGTCCAGAAAGTGGAGGAACGAAGCCATATCGCGAAAAGGGTGTATTCATCCCTTTCGGCGATGGACCACGAGCTTGTCTGGGTCAGAAATTCGCCATGACGCAAGTGAAGGCCGGCATTGTGGACATCATCAAGCATTTCGAGCTTCTGCCCAATTCCCAAACCCAGGAACCCCTTGTCATCGCTCCAGGAGAGTTCACTTCGACTCCAGTTGGAGGATTGTGGCTGGAATTTAAGGAGTTATCCTAAAAGAATTGTACTTATTTAGAGAATCAATAAATAAACAGAGGCAAAGTGTGGACAAATATTCTGTGCCGGTAAAATTTGAGAAACTCAAGCAATCTTTCTGGGCGAGTTATTCCGTGACGTCAAAGTAACTGTGCTTCAAAAATGGTGCAAATCTCACCGCTGAGAAGAAGTTCTGCCAATTCCTTAATTGAAAGTATCAAGAGAACTGTTAAGAAACTGGTTATTCTAGAGAGTAACCCACATAGTACAGGTTTTCTGGAAGATAATATTGCAGCATCTCAAGTCAATAGTTTCAATGGGTTCTTTCTCTGATCGGAGACTTTCATGGGACTTTTGCTGAATACCATCGAAGACAGATGAAAGACGGGAATATATTTTCTCCCTGCTTCACACACGGAAAGTATAAATTGCAGAGACGATCAGGTAAATTCACTCAGTTGCTTGCCGAGAAGCGATTGCGAGTGATCATGCGGAAGTTTATTCAGTGTTTCGTCGCTTGTTTCGCGATTCTCACTTTTTGGGCTTCTGCAGAGCCCCTCGATCACCTCCTGGGCAGTGATAAGAGCTCAGGAGCAGTATACAATGTGGATTTCATCGTGAAGAGTGGAATTGTGAAGTCGGGCTTTGAGAGCGTCGTTAGAATTGCAATGCAGATGATCACGAAACCTTGTAAGTTTTTCCGAATTATTGCTCTGCTGATGACTTATTAAGGAAATTATCTCTGTGTCTTTTAAGATGACAATGAAATGGTCTTCATACGCATCGCTCAGGGAAATGGAAGTATGGAAATTGAGCAACCCTCGAAGGAGGATAACTTAACATCTGAAGAGCCCACAATTGAAGAACTCAAGAACCTTAAAACCTTTGAATTCCTCTTGACGCCGGAAGGGAAGATGATCTTCAAGAAGGAATCAAAGTGTGAGAATATGATAAAAGTCATTGCCAGTGCGCTTTTCTTCAACTTCACCACATTGAGAATGCATGAAAATGACACAAAGAATTATCAGTACTTCGATGAGCAAAGTAATCAATACGGATCTTGCAAAGTGATGTCTTTTGTGGAATATCGAGGCGATGAAAGTGTCTCAGTTGAGCAGAACTTTGAGCCAATGAAGTGCAGTGATTTCACGCAGAAACAGTTCACTAATCAAGATTCGCACAAACTCCCGGGAATTCAGATGACCAACTTTCGAAACTACAATTTCGTGGGAAAGGAGAAATATTCAATGAAGAGTCTGGAATTGCAACAGTATATTTACATGACTCCGGCAAAAACTGATGAGTTGGAACACGTTCTGCGCACTTTCTACAGCTTCCGGCTGAATGAAGGAGCAGAAATTCCTGCGGAGGAGTTGAAAGCGGATCTCTTTGATTGGGAAACAATTCACGATCTTCAGTTCAATTCTCTGACTGATTACAGCATCAGGGATTTCATGACAATTCCCGAGGAGAGAAAGAGGGAAGAAATGCTCCTCGAAGTAGAGAAATTGCTGAAAAAAATGTCCAAAGTTGAGGATTCTCAGTTTTTCACTGAACCTCGACAATCCGAGGCGAGTTCGATGAGTTGGGCAATGACTGAAATGTTGGATATCATGAAGACCTTCTCTGAGGAGGATTTCTCTGCGATCAACCAAATGACAATGAAGGCAAGCGATTCCGGCAATCCTGAGATGTTGAGGAACTTCTACGAGGTCCTGCCATTGGTGGGATCTTCAGAAGCCACAATCTTTTGTGCAAACTTGATTACAAATCCTGATTTGGCGCTTAAGAAGGAAATGATACTGGTGAAATTGACAGGAAACATGCGAGAAGCTTCGAAAGAATCTCTGGATGTTCTCAGAAATCTCACGATGGTCGAAGATGTTCCTCTTGGGGCACTTCTTGCGTACTCACGCGCCTTGACTTTAGCTCATTCTGACAATAATGATCATGTGAAGCAAGCTTTTCAGTTCTTCACTGACAAGTTCTCCAAGACGGAAAGCTATGATGAGAAGAGAACTCTTCTTCAAGCGATGGGGAATTTGAAGAATCCGAAATTTAGCTCCTTTCTAATGCAAATCATCTCAGAAGAGATTGAAGATCTCAAGATTCATGCTTTGTACGCGCTCGGGAAGTCCATGAAGAGCTTTCCAAGTGACATTTTTGCTGATTTGTTGACTAATGCTGCGGATAAAGATTTATCCACCGAATTAAGAGCGATTAATGTGAAAATCATGCTCAATAGCTTAGCTTATGACGACGGAGAAACTCTCTGGACGCGATTTGAAGCCTTGGCCAGGAGATTACACGTCGATTCAAACTGTGATTTGTACAGTTTCTTCGCATCCACAAGCATTAATATGATAGAGAGGAAAATCCTTCCAGACAATTTTAGGAAACTGTTAAAAAATACATCCTCATGTCGATCGCAAAGTTTCTTCTTCAAAAGCCACGGCGATTTTGGTGAGGATTTCACTATTTCTGCCCATTTGATCTTTGACGAATTCACATTGAAGCAAATTCATGTGGAAATCTTTGAATCGTCTGCAGAAAAATACTCTTTTCTCCTGCGTTTGTCGGATTACGATTCAATCTTCGATTACATTAAAGATCTAGCGTCAGCCAAACATAAGTATGAACTGAGCCTTTCCAAGGCTTCCAGGACGGTCTTTTCCAAAACCTCCAAGTTCAACAAGAAGGTTATTTTAGCATTAATATATAGTGTCATCATGCCACATTCGGACATTGAATTTGAAGGATTGTCGAAGGAGTGTTTTGCCATTTTCTCTCTGCGCAACACTGATTTCTTCCTTCCCATGGACGCTGGAAGACATCTGCGAATTTTCTCTCAAACACCACTATTAATCACCTCGCTTATCGCTGTAAACTTTGGAAAAATCTTTAATACAACCTCAACAAACGGCGAGAAGTCCTCAATCATCTTGAGCGCCAATCTCACACTTCAGAGTATTCGAGGAATGGAATTTATTCATTCCAACTCGATGACATCGCACGGAAGTCGTCAGATGTCCAGTCTTCACTTTACAAAGCAACTTGCATTAAACTTCTCAAATAGTCTTGAAGACGGTAGAATGTGAGTTACTAGAAACAATTCCAGGAAAGCTATTCTAACATAATTCCTCTCTTTTGCTCTGTAGATCCTTCGAATTGGAGAAGAATAATGCATTGACGCCACTTCTTGGGATGAGGATTCACAAGCAGACTCAAGTTTACTTCAATCTCCCGAGAGAATCGGACAGTCAGAGAGTCGCAGAAGTGACTGGGAATTATGATTTCTTGAATTACAATCAGAAATCTCTGCTGAAAGGTGATTTTGAGGATCTTGGCGCGAGTTATGGCATCATAATGGATTCCTACAAAGCTTCGCAGAGTGGAAAACTTCTTCCTTTGACTTTCCCCGCGATGTTGTACAGAAAACCATTCTCAGGAATGCTCAATATGCCTCCTGAAGACATTATCGTCTCTCTGATGAGCTTTTTCCGATGGAAAATCCTACTTCCTGCCGATTACGGAATTGATTTGAGAGCCTTTGTGAAGCCCAGTGAAGTCTTCGACACTTCCAAGATCACTGTTAGACAAACAATTGATGATTCCTTCGATATAGCAATCAGTGATAAGGACGGCAAAGTTCGCGTTAAATATGTAGTTTTAGATAGTCAGTTAGGTTTTGGCTACACAATAGCCAGAATTCCGTCTGAGGGTGAATCTCTCGGATTCTGTTTTGAAGGAGATTTGTCCTCTTGGACTGTTCACTATGGAAAATATCTGGGAAAAGACTTACACTGTCCCAAAAATCAAACTGAGATCATTGTAAATATCAGAGATTTAAGCTTCACTAAGGAAAACATGCAAAAACTTGAGTATGAAACCGAGAAGAAGTGCATGTACACGGAAATCCTGCCGTGGATGAGAGATGTTGTGTGTTCTGGATATTTCATCAATAAGATATATTCTGTGGACTACAAGAACCTCACGAGTGGCGTTGAGAACTTCTTCAGGCGCGTAGGAACGTGGGCATTTACCAATTCTGAAGGTTTTCATGTTGTTAAGACATCAAAAATTCTAGACAACGCAAAATTCATGATTGGCGTTCAAAGTACAACACATCCTTCCGGGGAATACGCAGTGGTTGCGGTGATGCCGAAGGAGATTTATTCCATGAAAGGCTTTTCTAATTTGAGATTAGTGGGAAACATTTTAGAATTTACACCAGATCTTTTGATGCTTTTAGTATAAATAATATGTAGAAAAGTAAGACAATATCATTACAGCTAAAGTCCTGCTAATTTACACAAATTTGCTTCTTTAAATCAGTTTTCTAGAAGAAGAATTACACTAATTGACGATGCAATAAACAGATTTTTCTTCACACTGCTAAAAATGAATTTTATTTGGTAAACATCTTCGGTGTTTTAGTGAGATATTTTTAACTTCACGCTCCATTCCGCGCGTTAATCAAAGAGTCTCTGATTAAATAACCTCCGAGAGTTGCTCTGAGATTTATATTGGTAAACGGAGAACAGATTTGTGTTCGAGACTCATGCAAATTTGATGCGAAGGAGAGGAATTGAAGTCAGTCTGTGTTGAGCTCTGGCCAGGAAACAATCTTATTGTCTCTGTTGAAGTGAAAATTTGGTGAAATGATAGTTCTTTTGTACATTGTGCTCGCCATCGTGAGCAGTGTTTACTGCTTTCTCACGTGGAATTACAATCATTGGCAAAAGAGGGAAATTCCTTATCCAAAACCTGCACTATTTGTTGGAAATCTTCCCGGCGCCGTGACACAAAAGCATCACGTAGTTTACGATGTCCAAAAAATCTACAAGTAAGAAACAATTTAGAGATTCTCCACGCGGAATAAGAGTGGAATAATTTGATATTTCAGCCAATTCAAGGAGCAATACAACTTGGTTGGCATTTTCAACATGAGACAACCACAGTATTTAATCACCGATGGAGCTTTGGCGAGAGATATGCTTATCAACAAGTTCAAGAACTTTCACGACAATGAATTTGCCGATATGACCGATAAGGTAATGAAACATCCCTGCGTGATTTGAAACAATTCATTTTTCCTTCTGGTTTTGTCAGGAAAAAGATCCGATTCTCGGGCGAAATCCATTCATGTTGAAGGGCGAAGAATGGAAAGAAAAGAGAGCAGAAATCACTCCAGCTTTCACACAACTCAGAGTAAACATGAGTTTTATAAATCAATGAAAAAATGAAGAAAAAACATTCTCCAATTCCAGATTAAAGCCATGTACCCAGTTATCGAAGACGTCTGCGAGCGCCTGAAGAAATACATCTTGAAGGAAAATCATCAGGCAATCGAGACGCGGGAAATGTCAGCAAAATTCACCACAGATGTTGTCTCGAGTTGTATTTTTGGCATCGATGCGGGATCTTTCGCCGGAGAAAAAGCTCCCATTCGCGAAATGGGAAGGAGACTCATGGAATTCACACCAAGAATAACGTTTTACTTCATCGTGACTCAATTGCTTCCGTCACTCAAGAAGATATACAAAATTGCATTTACTGAAAAAGTCGTTGAGAAGTTCTTTGAAGTCCTAATGAAGGATGCAATTGACCTTAGGCAGAAAAGCAACATCGATAGAATGGATTATCTTCACTATCTTCTGGAATTGCAGGAGAAAAAGAAACTCAGTGAACTCGACATGGTTTCTCATGCAATTACTTTCTTCGTTGATGGATTCGAGACATCAAGTATTGTCTTGACTTACGCCCTCTTCCAAATATCCCGAAATAAGGATGTTCAGACGAAACTTAGAGAGGAAATAAGGGAAACTTATGAGAAACACGGGAAAATTGACTTTGATATTGTCAATGAAATGCCTTATCTTGAGCAAGTCTTGGCAGAAACTCTTCGTCTTCATCCTCCGGGGACTTTCTTGAGCAGAGTCTGCACACAATCCTGCGAATTGCCTCTCACAGAAGACCGAATGATCACCATTGACGAAGGTTCTTATCTTATGATACCAATTCACAGCATTCATCGCGATGAAAGATATTTTGAAGACCCTGAAAAGTTCATTCCTGAGCGTTTTGCACCAGAAAAAGGCGGAACGAAGATTCACAAGGAAAAAGGAAGCTTTCTACCCTTTGGCGATGGACCGAGAATTTGCTTGGGAATGCGATTCGCTCAAACTCAATTGAAAGCTGTAATTGTGGCAATTATGAGAGATTTCGAGCTCACGCTTGATCCTAAAACTCCTGAGAATTTCACTTTGAATCCTAAGGAATTTATTCCTACAATTCTAGGCGGAACTTGGCTGCGATTTAAAGAAATCAATGGATAATCTCATGCATTTTTATTATGATTATCATGTATACGATTTTATGTTTTGAGAATAACTGATGATTTAATACAAACCGTGTAATTTCAATAAAACCCGCTGAAAATACATACGAGATTTGTGTGAATGTCGCGAAATTGATGCGTCAAATAAAATTGTGTGAAAATTTTTTGTGCATTTTACTTTTCATGTCACATACAAAAATATAAAGGTGTAAAGTGAATTTGTGAAATAGGATATAACAAGGTATGATAAGAACCGCCGTAATTATCTTCGTTCATGGAAAACATATAACATCTGTACATTATACATACACGTCGTCGATTGTAAACTAAAATCACATTCGTGAGCGCTTGTATGGTTTCAATCTGCCTCCGAAATTGTGTAATAGTGGATGTTATGTTCATTGCCAAAGTGTTAGAAATAGAATGTGTGAGTTAGACAAATCGAAGCAAAGAGAGACTCATTCAGTCAGTACTGCGTTTCTGCTGTGAGAGGACAAAATGATGGTCTTTTTGTACATTGTGCTCGCCATCGTGAGTGGAATTTACTTATTCCTGACATGGAACTACAAACACTGGCAGAAGAGAGGAATTCCTCATCCCGAACCGGCGCTTCTTGTTGGGAATCTTCCTGGCGGAGTGTCGCAAAAGTATCACGTTGTGCATGACATACGGAAAATATACAAGTATTTACAGCATCATTGTGTAAATAACAACATTAGAAGGCGGCAGAATAATGGCAGATTCAATATATTACAGTCAATACAAGGAGCAATACAACTTGGTTGGCTTTTATAACATGAGACAACCGCAGTTTTTAATTACCGATGGAGCTTTGGCGAGAGATATGCTTATCAATAAGTTCAAGAACTTCCACGATAATGAATTTGCAGACATGAGCGATAAGGTAATAAATTATCTTCGCCTCTCTTTATGTGAAAGTCATTTCATTGCGTTTCTATATTAGAAAAAGGATCCAATTTTTGGACAAAATCCATTTCTCCTCAAAGGCGAAGATTGGAAGGAAAAGAGAGCAGAAATTACTCCAGCTTTCACACAACTCAGGGTAAAAATAGATCTAATTGGACAAGAGCAACATGATGAATGAACGTGTAATTCTTTTCTGTTCTATAGATTAAAACCATGTACCCAGTTATCGAAGACGTCTGCGAGCGCCTGAAGAAATACATCTTGAAGGAAAAACATCAGGCAATCGAGACGCGAGAAATGTCAGCGAAATTCACCACAGATGTTGTCTCGAGTTGTATTTTTGGCATCGACGCGGGATCTTTTGCCGGAGAAAAAGCTCCCATTCGCGAGATGGGAAGGAAACTAATGACTCCTTTGCCGAGAGTAATCATTTACTTCATCCTCGTGCAACTGATTCCGTCTATAAAAAAGATCTACAAACTCTCATTCGTTGAGAAAAGTGTCGAGAGATTCTTTGAAACACTAATGAAAGATGCAATTGACTTGAGGAAGAAAAACAACACAAACAGAATGGATTATCTTCATTATCTTCTTGAGCTTCAGCAGAGGAAGAATTTGAATGCACTTGATATGGTTGCTCATGCAATCACTTTCTTCATTGATGGTTTTGAAACCTCAAGCATTGTCTTGTCTTACGCGCTCTTCGAAATAGCCAGAAACAAAGCAGTCCAAGAAAAGCTTAGAGAAGAAATAAGGGAAACTTATGAGAAACACGGGAAAATTGACTTTGATATTGTCAATGAAATGCCTTATCTTGAGCAAGTCTTGGCAGAAACTCTTCGTCTTCATCCGCCGGGAACATTCTTGAGCAGAATCTGCACACAATCCTGCGAATTGCCGCTCACAGAAGACCGAATGATCACCATTGAGGAAGGATGTGTTTTCAATATACCAATTTACAGCATTCAGCGTGATGAACGATACTATGAAGATCCCGAAACTTTCGTCCCAGAGCGTTTTGCACCAGAAAAAGGAGGCACAAAAATCTATAGGGAAAAAGGCTACTTTTATCCTTTTGGCGATGGACCGAGAATTTGTCTGGGAATGCGATTCGCTCAAGCACAATTGAAGGCAGCAATTGTGTCGATCGTGAGGGATTTCGAGCTCACGCTTGATCCTAAGACGCCTGAGAATTACACACTGAATCCCAAAGAAATATTCCCAACAATTCTAGGCGGAACTTGGCTGCGATTTAAGGAAATCAAAGTGTAATTATGCCAAATAAATTATTTTATGACGACCTAATGAAGCTCCTGACACCAAAAATTAATTCTCATTCCCCATTTGTCTGCTTTTATCAGTATTACACAACAATGGCTTAATCAGTGCGCCGCAGATTAAAACACATTTGGAGATTTACACTGTTCGCAAGACATTTATCATTGCGTCTAAAAATCGTGCGTCCTTCAGCAAAAGAGAGTTTGAGAGAAGTGAAGAAATTTGCTCAGTCGCTTTCAGATCTCCAAAGTGGAAAGACTAAAAGTTTTTCTCTGAAATGTTACTTTATTTATACATTGTGTTCCTTATTGGAAATGTGATTTACTTCTTCCTCACTTGGAATTACAAACACTGGCAGAAGAGAGGAATTCCTTATCCTGAACCCGCCGTATTTGTGGGAAATCTTCACGGTTCAGTAACCCAGAAGCAACACATCACTCTTGACCTCCAGAAGATTTACAAGTGCGCGAATTGAAGTGATTGTCTTCTGATGGATGAGTTGAATTGATGTTTATTGTAATATTTTCAGTGAATACAAGGGAAAATATAATTTTGTGGGGTTCTTCAACATGAGACAACCTCAATATTTGATAACCGATGCAGCTGTAGCCAAAGACGTTCTTATCAATAAGTTCAAGAACTTCCACGATAATGAATTTGCTGACATGACAGACAAGGTAAAGTGAATCGAAGTTCATAAGAGTTTGCATATTTTTGAAATTTATTTCATTTCTCAGGAAAAAGATCCCATTTTTGGGAGAAATCCATTCCTTCTTAAGGGTCAAGAGTGGAAAGATAAGAGATCAGAAATCACACCAGCCTTCACTCCACTGAGAGTAAGTAAAAAGTCTTTCCTTTGCTTCATTCTTCAATCAACAATCGTTCAATTTAGATCAAGGCCATGTACCCAGTTATCGAAGACGTCTGCGAACGCCTGAAGAAATACATCTTGAAGGAAAATCATCAGGCAATCGAGACGCGGGAAATGTCAGCGAAATTCACCACAGATGTTGTCTCGAGTTGTATTTTTGGCATCGACGCGGGATCTTTTGCCGGAGAAAAAGCTCCCATTCGCGAAATGGGAAGGAAACTGATGAACTTCTCACCAAGATTGATGATATATTTCCTCTTGGTTCAACTTATTCCGTCGCTCAGGAAGATTTATAAAATTACCTTCGTGGACAAGATGGTGGAGAAGTTCTTCATAAACATCATGAAGGATGCAATTGATTTGAGGAAGAAGAGCAAAACTGACAGAGCTGACTATCTTCACTTTCTTTTGGAGTTACAGGAGAAGAAGAAGCTCGGTGAACTCGACATGGTTGCTCATGCAATCACATTCTTCTTGGATGGATTCGAGACATCAAGCATCGCCCTTTGCTATGCATTCTTCGAACTAGCTAAGAGTAAGGATGTTCAAGATAAACTGAGGCGTGAAATTAAGGAAACCATAGGGAAATATGGCAAAATTGACTTTGATGTCATCAATGAAATGCCTTATCTTGAGCAAGTCTTGGCAGAAACTCTTCGTCTTCATCCGCCGGTTATTTTTATGAGCAAAATTTGCACCGAATCCTGCGAATTGCCGCTCACGGAGACCGAAATGAAGACAATTGAGGAAGGATACAACGTTATGATATCAGCTTACAGCATTCAGCGTGATGAACGATACTATGAAGATCCCGAAAGCTTCATCCCAGAGCGTTTCGCGCCAGAAAAAGGAGGCACAAAGGTGCACAAGGATAAGGGAACTTATATGCCTTTTGGCGATGGACCGAGAATTTGTCTGGGCCAGAAATTCGCATTGACTCAGCTCAAGGCCGCAATTGTGTCAATTGTGAGGGAATTTGAAATCACCGTCGACGCCAGAACTCCTCAGACAATCATTCTGAATCCCAAGGAAATCCTCCCGAATATCCTTGGCGGTGTTTGGCTGAATTACAAGAAGATTAGAGCATAAATAAAGAGTTTTATACTGTAAACTTACTTTCTCCTCATCTTATCAACTATTTTTATCAAATTTTTCCATGTGAGCTTTTTAATCAAGGCTCTGAGATTATGAGATTACTCAAAGGCGAATGACTAACATTTTCCCAAAATAGCTGAAGTGAAAAATCAGTTTGTGTGGTTTCTTCAGTCTTGTTCCATTTGCTACGGCAAAATGTTGACCTATTTGTACATTGTGTTCTGCATCGTGAGTGGAATTTACTTTTTCCTGACATGGAATTACAAACACTGGCAGAAGAGAGGAATCCCTTATCCTGAACCCGCCGTATTTGTGGGAAATCTTCCCGGTGCAGCGAGGCAAAAGGTTCACATTACACTCGACATTGAGAAGATTTACAAGTAAGCGAGTGATTGATTGATTTCTTTGGATATTCTTCTTACACATCCTTATGCTTTTCAGTCGATTCAAGGGAAAATATAATTTTGTGGGATTTTTCAACTTGAGACAACCTCAGTATTTGATAACCGATGCATCCTTAACCAAAGAAGTTCTTATCAATAAATTTAAGAACTTCCAAGATAATGAATTTGCCGACATGACAGACAAGGTGAAGCACTAAAATTGTCTGCGTTGATCAAAGTGTTTGAGGATAAAAGAATTCAATTGAATATTGTAGGAAAAGGACCCCATTTTTGGGCGGAATCCATTCCTTCTTAAGGGTCAAGAGTGGAAGGATAAAAGATCAGAAATTTCACCAGCTTTCACTCCACTGAGAGTAAGTAGAATTAATTATGCGTTGTCTTTCATCAGAATAAGATTATTTCCACTGTTATGTTCAGTTAAAGGCAATGTATCCTGTCATGGAAGATGTTTGTGAGCGTCTTAAGGATTATATCTCGAGAGAAAATCATCAAGCAATTGAAGCCCGAGATTTGTCAGCAAGATTTACTGCCGATGTTGTTTCGAGTTGTATTTTTGGCATCGATGCAAAATCATTTGCCGTGAAGAAATCACCGATACAAGAGATGGGAAGGAAAATTCTTAACTTCTCTCCAAGAATACTGTTTTACTTCTTCATTGTGCAAATGCTTCCATCGCTCAGGAAATTGTACAAAATCACATTCGTTGAGAAAGCTGTTGAAGCATTCTTCGTCAATATTATGAAAGATGCAATTGATTTGAGGAAGAAGAGCAAAATTGATCGCTCAGATTTCTTGCAATACTTATTTGAGTTGCAAGAGAGGAAGAAGCTCAGTGAACTCGATATGGTTGCTCATGCAATCACCTTCTTCCTGGATGGATTTGACACTTCCAGTGTTGTTCTGGGTTTCACACTATACGAATTGGCGTACAACAAACATGTCCAGGACAAACTCAGGCATGAAATCAGGCAATTCACTGAAAAACATGGGAAAATAGACTTTGAAATCACTCACGAAATGCCTTATCTTGAGCAAGTCTTGGCAGAAACTCTTCGTCTTCATCCGCCAGCTTTCTTCCTCAGCAAAAGCTGCACACAATCCTGCGAATTGCCTCTTCGTGAGAACCAAATGATGGTCGTTGAGGAAGGATACAGCGTTATGATACCAATTCACAGCATTCATCGCGATGAAAGATATTTTGAAGACCCTGAAAGCTTCATCCCAGAGCGTTTTGCACCAGAAAAAGGCGGTACAAAGATTCACAAGGAAAAAGGGAGCTTCTTACCTTTTGGCGATGGACCGAGAATTTGTCTTGGCCGGAGATTTGCAGAGACACAAATAAAGGCAGCAATTATATCAATTGTGAGGAACTTTGAGATTACAGTGAATCCCAAAACTCCTGCTGCAATCGTGCTGGATCCTAAGGAGATCATTCCAAGTGTCATCGGCGGTGTTTGGCTGAATTACAACGTCATTAAAGAATGATTTAAGTCATGAATTTTGTTGTTTTCAGTTAACAAAAGCCTGCAAAGAAAAATCCCAGACATTGAAAGTCATCATACGTAAACAAATTCAATCATTAAAACCTGCTTCGTCACTTTATCACAGTACTATCTCAATCGAATGTTAGTTATCTAACAGCCAAATGTGTATATTTTTTATCTGCGCACTCCAACACAACGCCACAACACACGTGTGTTGGGCGAATGAAAATGTGCTCAGTTTGTCGAGAGTATCTGAAGAGAGTGTTGCTTATTTTCGTCTCTCTGTGAATTTTTGGCAAAATGCTCCACGGAATCATTTGCGTCTTCGTCGGATTGGGCATCATTTTCTACATTTACATGACCTGGCACTTTGATTACTGGAAGAAGAGACACATTCCATCGCCAGCACCGCGCTTTTTGCTGGGAAACTTGCCCGGAGCGGTGATACAGAAGAGGCACATGTCGTACGACATTGACGATATTTACAAGTAAGTGAAATCAATTAATTTTCCAGGATTAGCAGTTAATTTTTCATATCACTCAACAGAGAATACAAGAGTCAACATGGATTTGTGGGCATTATCAACATGCGACAGCCACATATTCTGGTAATTGATCCTCTCCTGGTGAAGCAAGTCCTTATTAGTGAATTCCACTCATTTGCGGACAATTCATTCGCCCACTTCACTGATAAGAAGACCGATCCGATCTTTGGAAGGAATCCTTTCATATTGAAAGGAAAAGAGTGGGAGGAAAAGCGAGCGGAAATCACACCGGCGTTCACAACTTCAAGAGTGAGTTTAAACATTGTGAAGAATTACACTTTGTATCTGGATTTAACAGACTTCCGTCCGCCTTCAGATTCAAACCATGAATCCTGTCATAGAACACGTGTGCAAGAGGATGACCAAGTATCTGCAATACAAAATCCAACAGAGACCAGATGGATTCGAAGCTAAGGAATTGGCAGCAAAGTACACCACTGATGTGATGTCAAGTTGTGTCTTTGGACTTGATGGCGGTTCTTTCACTGGTGGCAAAGCCATCATCCGAGAAATGGGAAAGATCCTTTTCACGCCCAATTGGAGGATCTTTGCATACTTTGTGGTGGCTCAGGTTTTCCCTTATCTGCCAAAAGTCTACAAGCTTGCCTTCGTGCCGAAAGTCGTTGAGCAGTTTTTTGTGGAAATCATGAAAGACGCCGTTGCCTTTCGTCGTCAAACCAACGTCGATCGCTTCGACTATCTTCACTACCTTCTCGAGTTGCAGGAGAAGAAGAACCTTAATGATTTGGACATGGTTGCTCATGCAATAACATTCTTTATTGATGGCTTTGAGACATCCAGTGTCGCTATTTCGTATACACTTTACCAACTTGGGCGCAACAAGCGAGTTCAAGATAAACTGAGGAAAGAGATAAGAGACACACTGGCAAAACACTCTGAGTTATCTTATGACGTTGTCGCCGAAATGCCTTATCTCAATCAGATATTCATCGAGGCACTAAGACTGCATCCACCGTTCAGTGTTTTCTGCAAGACTTGCACAGAAACCAGCGAGTTCAGACTGAGTCCTGGGGAGTTCAGAAGAGTGGACAAAGGCATGCAAATACTGATTCCGACCTACAGTTTGCATCGAGATCCAGAATACTACGATCAGCCTGATAAGTTCATGCCGGAGCGCTTCAATCCGGAACACGGCGGCGTCAAGGCGTATCGAGATAAGGGTGTTTTCTTCCCCTTCGGCGATGGACCCAGAATTTGCTTAGGGGAAAAATTCGCCATGGCACAAGTCAAGGCAGCGATAGTTGCGATAGTGAAGAGCTTTGAAATAAGTGTTAATGCTAAGACCAAAACACCACTGGCTTTGGATGCGAAGCAATACATTTCCTATCCAATTGGAGGACTTTGGCTGGATTTCAAAACATTATAATAAATAAGGAATAAATAGGGATATTAAGACACACTTGTTTCTCATTAAACACTCAGAACTCTCTTAAAATCTTCCTCGTAAACGAATTTCACCATTTAGATCAATCGCACACGTTCGTCATCAAGCCAAAAATTGGCATAAACACAAGAGAATATCTACTGAGCAAACTCCGTTATCGCTCAACACTTATTTTATATAGAGAGTATTTAAACGCCGCCCGGCAAGTGCGAGATTCAGTGAGTTTCGCGCTTCGTTGTGATTCGGAATTCACACAGCTTGATAAATAAAAATGATTCAGTTTATCTTGACTTCTGTGTGTGCTTTGCTGATCGCTGGATATTTCTACATATCCTGGAATTATGATCACTGGAAGAAGAGAAATATTCCGGGACCCAAAGCAAGATTCCTTCTGGGAAATCTGCCCAGTGTTGTGACGCAGAAGCGCAACATTACTTATGACATGGACGACTTATACAGGTTTGTTCAGGTTAAAGATTCACCGAGAAAATATCTTAAAGTTTATTCCTTCACATTTTCAGGGAGTTCAAAGACCGCTATGGACTGATTGGATACTACAACACAAGATCTCCAGCTCTGATGGTTCTCCAGCCAGACTTGGCGAGAGATATGCTTATCAAGAACTTCAAGCACTTTGCCGACAACGAATTTGCCGATCTTGCAGACAAGAATGTCGATCCGATTCTGTCAAGAAATCCTTTCATGTTGAAAGGTGAAGAATGGAAAGAGAAACGAGCAGAAATCACTCCAGCTTTCACAACATCAAGGGTGAGTTTGATATTTCACAACTTTACACTGTGTTTCATTGCGAAATTCTACTTCAGATAAAAACCATGTACCCAATAATTGAAGATGTGTGCGCGAACATGAAGAAGTACCTCGAGGAGGAGTTCGAAAAAGAAACAATGGATGGAATTGATGCCAAAGAATTGTCCGCAATGTACACAACTGATGTGGTTTCCAGTTGCATCTTTGGCGTCGATGCTGGATCATTCACTGGCGGCGATGCCACAATTAGGAAAATGGGAAAAGGACTCTTTGATCCCACTTGGCAGATGATGGTTTACTTCTTTATGATGGAAATCATTCCATTCCTCACAAAGTTCTACAAAATGCCAATGGTGCCGAAGCATGTTGAGAAGTTCTTCGTGAAAATCATGAAAGATGCCATTGCTTTGAGAAGGAAAACCGACGTGAATCGCTTCGACTATCTTCACTACCTTCTTGAGTTGCAGGAGAAGAAGAACTTGAACGAATTGGATATGGTTGCTCACGCCGTGACATTCTTCCTGGATGGTTTTGAGACGTCCAGCATTGCAATGGCTTTCACACTTTACGAGCTGGGAAAGTGTAAGAATGTCCAAGAGAAACTGAGGCAAGAAATTCGAGAAACCATCGCCAAGCATGGGAAGATTACACATGAAGTTGTGTCAGAAATGCCTTATCTCGATCAAGTCCTGAACGAATCCCTTCGCCTTTATCCACCGGCAACAATGTTGGGTAAAATCTGTACAGAAAAAATCACAATTAAGGTCAAGGAAGGAGAGTATCGCTATATAGAGGAAGGTGATGATGTCACTTTTCCTGTGTACAGTTTCCATCGTGATCCGGAGTTCTATGAAAATCCCGATGAATTCATCCCGGAGAGATTTGATCCGGAAAACGGTGGAGTGAAAGCTTTCCGCGATAAAGGAGTTTTCGTGCCTTTCGGCGATGGACCAAGGATTTGTCTTGGACAGAGATTTGCTCAAGCCCAAATCAAGGCAGCACTTGTGTCTTTGCTGGACAATTTTGAAGTTGAAGTCAATCCAAAAACCAAGGAACCAATCATTTTTGATCCCAAACAGTTCTTGACTTATGCAATTGGAGGATTATGGCTTAATTTTAAGAGGATTTGAAGTGTAAAAATGCTTTAATGCAATAAAAATCTTAAAGAAATCAAGAAATTGATCTTTATACTATAATTTGCAATGCTTTAATTGAATCTCCGTGACAGAATTTTACAGTTTTTGCTCAACATCGATCACAAAACTTTATCTTCCCACAATTTCGCTCTTCCACACCATATAATTATCATCCGCTATAACACACACTATCATTTTTTTGTCTGCGCGTAAAGGCCAAAATATGAGTTAGTGTTTGAATATAAAACATGAATATATAAGAGCTGAATTGAACGCCATAAAGCTCAGTGTCTCGATGTGAGTCAATCAGCGTGTTTCCTCAGCGCTTCTGTCCAGAATGATTGGGTTAATTCTGTCGATTGTCGCGACTATTGTTGTCGGTGGATACGTATTCATCACATGGAATCACAATCACTGGAAGAAGAGGAATTTCCCAGGACCGGAGCCGCGCTTCTTCCTGGGAAACATTCCCAGTATGGTGACCCAGAAGCGTAACATGACTTACGATGTCGACGATTTGTATCGGTGAGTGTGTGTAGTTTTGCGCCGAAACTTGGGCGAGTTATGAAATCATTCTCACTCACCATTTGTAGGGAGTTCAAGGACCGTCACGGCATTATAGGATTCTTCAGCATGAGATCGCCCAGTCTCATGATATTGCAGCCGGATGTGGCGAAAGATGTGCTCGTGAAGAACTTCAAGCACTTCTCCACAAATCAATTCACGGACATGATGGACAAGGAAACTGATCCCATTTTCGCCAGAAATCCCTTCATGTTGCGCGGCGATGAGTGGAAGGAGAAACGAGCTGAAATCACACCGGCCTTCACGTCAACAAGAGTGAGTCTCGGTGATTTCGTAACATTGAGAAAAGCTATGATAAAGATTCTCTCTTTTAGATAAAAACCATGTACCCGATAATTGACGACGTGTGCGCGATTATGATCAAGTATCTGGAGAGAGAATGTGAAAAGGCGCCAGTGGATGGAATTGACGCTAAGGAATTGGCCGCAATGTACACAACTGACGTGGTTTCCAATTGCATCTTTGGCCTCGATGCTGGATCTTTTACTGGCGGCGATGCCACAATTAGGAAGATGGGAAAGAAACTCATGGAACCAAATTGGCAAATTATGCTCTACTTTATGGCAGTTCAAATGCTCCCATTCCTGATGAAAATCTACAAAATGGCCTTCGTGCCAAAGTACATTGAGAAGTTCTTTGTACAAATCATGAAAAATGCCATCGCCTTCAGAGAGAAGTCTAACGTCGATCGTTTCGACTATCTTCACTACCTTCTCGAGCTGAAGGAGAAGAAGAACCTCAATGAACTCGATATGGTTGCTCATGCCGTGACATTCTTCCTGGATGGTTTTGAGACGTCCAGCATTGCCATGGCTTTCACACTCTACGAATTGGCAGGACACAAGAATGCGCAGAATAAGCTCAGGAAGGAGATTCAAGACACTATCGCCAGTCATGGAAAGCTCACCTTTGATATCGTCTCAGAAATGCCTTATCTCGATCAAGTCCTGAACGAATCCCTTCGCCTTTACCCACCGGCAACGACTTCTGCCAAAGTCTGCACAGAGAGAATTCAATTTAAGGTCAAGGAGGGCGAATACCGAACAATTGAGAAGGACGACAACATCGCTATTCCAATCTACTGCTTCCATCGTGATCCGGAGTTCTATGAGAATCCCAATGAATTCATTCCGGAGAGATTCGATCAGGAAAACGGTGGAGTGAAAGCTTTCCGTGAAAAGGGAGTTTTCTTGCCTTTTAGCGATGGACCAAGGATTTGTCTTGGACAGAGATTCGCCCAGACTCAACTGAAGGCAGCAATTGTGTCTCTAATCCGAGACTTTGAAATCGACGTCAATCCTAAAACCAAGGAACCAATCGTGCTGGATCCGAAGCAATTCCTGGCTTATGCTGAGGGCGGATTGTGGCTCAATTTCAAGAAGCTTTAAATAATATTCGTCGTGCAGAAAGCTGCCATTTTCTTCGCAATTCCTTTAGAAAGTAAAATCATAATCATAACATTGCGAAATAGACCGTCTTTAATGCTTCATGATCTCACCTACATACATATCAGGAAATGTGGAATAAAAAAAGCACAGTTTGTAAATAAAAACAACCTTGAACTCGCCAAAATTCTCCCAATTCTAACACACAAGTGAAGATGTATTAAAATAGCAAAGAGAATGTGTTGTTTTCATTTTATCTTATCTCATGAGAAGTAAATAAAAAAAGCTGCTCATGAATTGGTGAAAATGTTTTGGTATTTTGCCGGCATATTTTGTCTCTACATACAAATCTTATGTTTGTAAATAGAATCAACCTTGATTCGTCGCTTCGCACTAAACTAAATGACACACGAAAGGCCAAGCAGAGTTTTTGGGACAATTTGTAATTGCAGAAATTAATTTTACGTTCACATGGAAACCTATTTTGACCAGTTTTTGCTACCATGATTGGCATTTCTTTTATCAGACTCACGGATTCACTCTATCACCACTGATAAGAACGCACAAATCATGCTCGCTGGCGAAATATTTTACAGTCTGACGAGAGAATTCTTTATAAAAGGAGGCATTTTCACTTTCTCCATCAGTCAAGAAGTCAAGTGAAGCTGTTGGTGAACAATGTTTCAAGAAATTGTGTACTTTTTGAGTGGTTTGGGAATCATTCTCTATGTCTATTTGACATGGAATCATGATTACTGGAAGAAGAGGAAGATTCCTGGTCCTGAGCCAAGATTCTTACTGGGAAATGTTCCCAGTTTAATCACTGCTCAGAAATTTCTGGCTTACGAAATGGATGATCTTTACAAGTGAGTGGATAGAAAAACGAGTTCAGTGTCGAGTTTATCGACTAATTCTGGGTGAATTGTCTTTGAAGGAAATACAAAGATCGCTACAAATTCATTGGATTTATGAACATGAGATCACCGAATATTCTCGCTTTGGATCCAACAATCATTAAGGAAATGCTTATTAAGAATTTCCGCTTCTTCTCTGACAATACATTCGCCAATTTCACGGATAAGGAGGTCGATCCGATCTTCGGACGGAATCCTTTCATGCTGAAGGGAAATGAGTGGAAAGAGAAGAGACAAGAAATCACTCCGGCTTTTACAGTCAGCAGAGTGAGTAATTGACGCTTTCAAATCGGCATTTGAAGGTGATTTTTGTGTGACTTTGCGGTGCATTTTCTTCCAGATTAAGACAATGTATCCTGTGGTTGAGGATGTCTGTTCTGCCATGAAAGACTACATCAAGCGCGAGAAGAAGAATAACGCCCAGGGATTCGAAGGCAAGGAATTGTGTGCAAAATTCACAACGGATGTTGTGTCTAATTGCATCTTTGGCCTCGATGCTGGCTCCTTCACCCAAGAGAAGCCCATCATTCGCGAAATGGGAAAAGAATTGTTCACGCCAAGCATCAGAATCCTTGTCTTCTTCTTCCTGCAAACCGTGATTCCAGCCATCAAATACGTCTACAAAATGCCCTTTGTGCCTAAACATGTTGAAAAGTTCTTCGTGAAAATCATGAAAGATGCCATTGCTTTGAGAAGGAAAACCGATGTGAATCGCTTCGACTATCTTCACTTCCTTCTTGAGTTGCAGGAGAAGAAGAACTTGAATGAACTCGATATGGTTGCTCATGCCGTGACATTCTTCATCGATGGCTTCGAGACATCCAGTATCGCACTGACATTCACTCTATTCGAGATTGCACGGCACAAGAATGTCCAAGACAAGTTGCGCAATGAGATAAGAGAGACTCTTGCGAAACACGGAAAAATCACACACGATGTTGTGTCTGAAATGCCTTATCTCGATCAGGTGTTCATGGAGTCTCTGCGATTGTATCCGCCAGCCTCCTTCCTGGCCAAGACAGTCACCGAACAGACGGAGCTCAAGCTCTCCGAGGGAGAGTACAGAACCATTGAGAAGGGCATGGAGATCTTCGTTCCTCTCTACAGCATCCATCGCGATCCCGAGTATTACTACCAACCCGAAGATTTCATTCCCGAGCGATTCGATCCGGAGAACGGAGGCGTTAAGGCGTTTCGCGACAAAGGAGTTCTCATTCCTTTCGGCGACGGACCCAGGATTTGTCTGGGTCAGCGATTCGCCATGGCTCAAGTGAAGGCTGCAATTGTGTCGCTGGTTAATGAATTTGAGCTCAGCGTTAATCCCAAGACTAAAACGCCCCTGATCTTCGACCCTAAGCAATTCCTTATCTACCCTTATGGCGGAATTTGGCTCGACTTCAAGGAACTGTAATCCCATAATGAGTGAGTATGACGTCAAGGTGTAAATTGAGTGTTTTTTTTTACAGTGAATTACAGTGAAAATGAACTCAAAATTGTATCAGTGAATTGATAAAACATTAATTTTCTTCAAATCTTGAGAGAAATGTTGGATAAAAAGACAATTCAGAGGCCTGAAACACATTTCCATATCAATTGAGTCCCAAATCATGAGGAACACTAATTTAAAGCACTTTTAAAATAGAGAAAATGCAATAAAACACTAATGAAAATATGATTTTAAGCACTGAACTTATTATAAATATTTTAACTCAAGCCAATATGAATAATTTCGGTGATTTTGGTTGAATTTTGTTCAAGTTTAGGTCTATTTCGAAGCAAAATACGTCAAATTTATCGTCCACAAAGCTTTTATACCAAGAAATTCAACCAAGAAAGTTAAAATTCGACGTAAATTAGTTATTCACCCCTCATTTGACGCTATGAATAGAGAATTCATGCGAAAAGTGTGAATTTCACGCCACAAGAGAATCATTTGCAATCACTATTAATGTGCTGACGAAGAAAAGCTAATGCGAATCTCTCTTTGCAGTGTCCATGGGAGGAACAACTGGACTCTTCGTGGGAGCCAGTCTTCTGAGCTTTGTCGAAATCCTCTACTATTTCACAATCCGCCCCTATGGAAATTTTCTCATGAAGAAACACGCCAAATAGACACCATCGACAGCATCACAGTTTCCTCCTTGTGTGATTGCACGCGAAACGGCCACTGGCGGGGGAAACACACACTGGACACATTTTCTTCAATTCACTTTCGTCGGTAAGGCCAGCAGAGAGTCTTGACGGCGATCAGTTGGAGTTGAAAAGCTCGTCGGGGCGGTAAAAGTGCTGAGCGTGGCCTTAAGTGTTGAGCGAGAGAGATACGCGTTTAAGCCAAAACAAATTATATTTCCATTACCATCGAAGATATAAAGAGCAGCTTCTGGTTTTTGCTTTCATCCACAATATAAAGTGCACGAGATTATTTTGAATTATTGCAAGTAAAATGTAAGTTTTTTCTTTGGTGTGAAGATGTTGGACGAGGAGATGAAAAATGGCAAGAAATTACATGTCTAAATTTGTTGTGAAATATGTAGCAGAAATTCTGGTGTTGAAAAACCACAATAAAGAGTGATAAAAATTCCGCAATTGCCCAATTTTCTGCTGTGTGTGTGATGAATGAAAAAAAAAACGAACTTATCTAATAGGTTTTCAGTGAGAATTATAGCCCATAGAGTGATTGGTTTTATTTTTGAGACACCCAACAAAAACTGATTGTCTATTAAATGCCGCAGTTACTGTGATGTCTTCAGCACCACACTCAATTCCTTTCGCTTTCTTTCACTTTGTCACGTGAATATTGGATAAGGTCTCCTTCCTGCTTCTCTTCTTTTCCAACACACATCCAGAATTCAATACCACTGACCGAAGCACGTTGGCTATTTGCCATTCATCTCTCCAATATTATATATTAATCTGTAATTAAAACTTCTGACTCTCGCGCGGCTTTCATAAAATACCATTTCACTCTCTTGGGTACAAATGAAAATATATTTCATTGATGGAATGTCTAGAGAAGAGACATTTTAATTCCATTTATTTATGAATTTTCAACGCTCTTTCTCGCGCGCATTTCTCGCTGCAAATTGAATTGTTGTGGCGTGAAGAAGTAATCTTCTTAAGCCACACCATTTCGTCTGCATTATTAATCAATTCCAATTGACCCCAGCACTGGGTAATAATAATGACATTGGCAAAAACTGTTGCCATTAAATAACACACGCAGCTCAATGTCTGGCGCAATAGTAAATTCCATCCATGTCTTTTCGGCACAGTCGAGCAATATAGCTAACAAAAAAGACGTTGAGCCAATTTCTCCTACGCTCGCGCGCCTCTCTTAAAATAAAAGATACAGATCTCTTTGAGATTTACAGCTGCACGTGACTGTATTGACAAAGCCGAGAAAAAATCACCACAAGTGATAACATTTCTTGGGCGAGTCTGCAATTCACAATTCGGTCATCGATTCGAAAAAGTCAAAAGATATTGACCATTTGTTGCGCATAAAAATTCATCAAATTGCCCAAATTTCATCTCGTGATTTAAATATTTTATTCATTTGGCTCTTCAATGTGCCAAAAAATCGATACCATTGCACACCTTGATATAGGTGATGATAGAGAGAGAGAAAGGCTTCTCTCATTTTTAATTCAAGCGATGGACTTTGAGGAAAATATAAAACAAAAACCGAAGAGAGTCTTCAAAACGTATTGCTTTTTCGATATTATAAATAATTCCCCAAAAACACTCAAAGCGACACTCACATAATAGGTCGGTTTGTTGTATCGATTTTCTGCACGAATTATTACACCATCGGGAGAGACTGATAAAGACCTCCATCGGTTCTCATTGGAGAGCCACCTCATGTACCTCTGGCGTGGTGAGCAGTGAAAGTGATTTATAAAGCCAATAAATTGGCGAAAGATCGCTCCATTGCACGTATACAAAATACAAACATATGGCATTACACCTTGTTCAATTGAACACCAATTAAATCCACACTTTTATACCACTAAACTAGTAATTTCTTCCCACCTTGATGCATGTCAACAAACACACTCTGTGTGTGTCCATTCCCGCCTCTTCTTCCACCCCTTTTTTGCCATGCATCCACAACTGCTGGTGTTACCCAATGATGAACTTCGTGATGCGCGCAATGCAATTGACTCTTAAATTGCTATGATCTCATGGCAAAAAAAGAACGACAAAGTTGCAACTGTAAGATGGAATTTCATCTCCTCACCGTCGCCTATGTATTATCAGCGAGCATAGCTAGTTATTACTGGACCATGGCAAAATGATCACGTTTGAGGAATTGCAAAAGCAACAAAAACCGAAAGTGAATGCCATCACGCAAAATGCTTTCCCGTCTCACGTGACATCAAAACCAAACAGAAAAATTGGCGATGGTGCAATTCTATCACATCAAGTCACCCACATAATCACTGAATCAATTCAAATGACTTTTGGTATCATTAGCATGTAAATTGCAGATGTTATCTTCTTTTCTCTCATTAGGCACAAATTCACCGTTTACACTCTGACCATCTTCATCTGCATCTCCATCACGTGTGCACAAATTCCCCATCCAGCTGTCTTGAACATCGAACAGGAGGAGAATCTGCTGCCTGATCATCTGCGAAATCACTTCCTCAGGACACCAAGAGTGGCCGCCGCTTTGGCGGTCAGCAGTTGGCTGGAACACGGAGAAGAGCCGGTAAATACAAATAAAACAATCCCAATCAAATCAATAATGACACGCCAATTATCCTTGCACAGGTGTACGAGAGAGAAGCCGATAAGATTCCCAGACATGAAATCTACAACGTCCTCACACACGCTGGCTTCATCCCGAGAAGATTTTACAAATGATTCTTCCTGCGCCAGCATCTTCACACCCGCCTTTTCTCCACCTCTCAATTAAATGTACATACACTGTTGTCACAATGTTCCAGATATTGTTCTTCATATGAAATAACAATGAGACACGTCTAGTGAATTAACGTCTTTTCGTCGGTTTTTGCTCTCCGTCAAGGGACAACCATTGTAAAGATTGAATGTCCTGAATGAACTTTGGCTTTGTAAAATGTTTAGCAAAATTCTGACTAAATTGTGAGGTTATGAAACCAGTTAAAAAATCATTTTTCGTCCAATTTTATTCCTTCTCAACCAGGAAATTTTAAAATTTGGTAAATATTTCAATGTTTCTACTAGAATTTGAGCTTGAACAAAGAAAAGAAATGATCTGCGATATTTTAATAATATTTTTGAGGTTATGATTGATTTTTAAGCTTTATCTCAACCAATATAAAGTTCGTTTGAACAGAAATGCTCAACTTTCTGCCAAGAAAAAGACAAATATTCCCAGTTTAAATACGAATTTGATGATTTTGAGGATTATTAACGATTATTATTAACGAGAATCTGTTTTTGATCAATCATATAACCTATAAAAAACAAAATAATCGATTTTTTAAAGCTGAATAATTTAGAAAATACCTCAATTTGTTTAAACAGCGGCTTTTTCAGTGCAAATATGGCAAATATTCTTTCACTTACAATTTCTAAGACTTCCTCTAAAGCTGTACACCACTTCCGACCATAATATCTGCCCCTTGGCCATCGTATTCCTATTCTCATGTTATTTCCGCGATGGGATAAAGGATTTCCAGACCTAATATTTGGCAACGGAATAACCAAATCAGTGGCACGCAAACCCAGGGTGTTTGTCGTGCACTGAGGAGCCCCTCTGGGGAACCCCAGAGTGAGAACACAGTGCCATGTGGTGCTGAAAGCCTGCAGAGCGCAAGCTCCACACTCATTCTCAATTCGTGTCGCCTGCATAAAGGCAACCCAGGCCACGGCTAACGAGTTCAGTCGATGGTGAAACGTCCCCAAGAAAGAATTCAACAGATTCGCGCGTCAACAATGCTTGCAAGAATCGATTGGGAACCCCTGTGAATATCATTAGTGTGTGTATAATTTGCAAAAAAGTGATGTGAAGACACAATTTTCCCACGACATTCGCCATTCATTCAGCACGAGTGAGAAACTGGACGCACTTCTACTGGCCATTGGCAGATAGTCAAAGGGTGTTTTTCCATCTAATTGCGTGTGAATTCAACATAAAATGTGAGTATAGGAGAGACTTTCGACTCAAACACCCACACAATTACGCAAAATTGGGAATTTGAAAGCCCCTCAGGGCCACTTAGGCATCGCCCTAATCCACCCTCGGAATGCGAAAGGGGAGGAAAAGGGGTGAAAGGCTTGACCACGGGTGAATCTGATTGTGGTAAAGTCAATTAGACAGTCTAATGCGAGACAATTAATAAACATGAGATGATCTTTTGTGGCCTTTTTCGTGCTCACTCTCTGTCAACCACAGGATTTTCACTGCAATTCCCTACGGAACGGGCAGTCGCTGGGCTCTGGGGGCCATTATCCTCGTCCATCAGAGTGTCTATAATGAGATTGGAGCCACAACAACCCTCTTCGCCATCCTCCTGGCGGCACTTTCGGCCACATTTTCAGGTATTATATATGCAGAAAAAAAGCTCTCGCATGCAGAGTGAAATCAATAGCAAGGCGGGAATATAAGTTCCTCGACATTCATCCTGAAAGTGTGACCCATTGATTTTCTCTCTCTCTCTCTCACTCTGTTGTCCTTGCCGCCAACAAATGCACACTCACAGCTATTTGCCAAAGTGCCACCAAAAAGACGACAAATGTCGGATATCTGAGGAGCAATCACAAGTGTGACTTTCTGCTGCTCTTCCTCACCCTCTGGATGGACATTCTCGCCCTCCTCGCGTCTTGTGCCGCCCTGGCAAGGACGCTCAGCACTTGTTTGGATACAATGACTGGTGGCATGGCTCGAATGTGGATATTAGGTAAGAAGCACATATTGATTTTCGATCACTTCTTCTATCTATTTTTAAGTGGAACAACTTACAATTCAGAGACTCAGCCATTCATGAAATTCACTCGGTAAACACACGGCACAGTCTCATGTTATCAACACGCCAGAGGCCAGTGAATGGCAAACTTTATGAATAGCCATGCACCGGCTTGCGTACAGCAAACCACACAATATCGATAACAGACCAATAAACACTTTAGCACACCGTCTCACTAATCCAATTAACATAATCGTGCCTTTCAGGCAGGAATTCATCGCCCAACGAGCCGTGGCCAGATGTCATCGGGGTCTCTGTGGTGTTCCTCGTGTCCGGGATGTTTATGCTTGGCCTGGAGAACACCAAGATCTTCAGCTGTCTCATGATCTCCGGCGTGCTGGGCATTGTTGGCCAACTGGGCATCGTCACGTGGCTGCAAGGAGACGAATCCGAATGGCACAAGCCCACGTGGTTCTCTCAAGGACTGCCAGGACTCCTCATCGGAGCATCTCTGGTCGCTTTCTCCTTTCCCGCCGAAATGCCGAGTCAATCCAAGTACAATCGCTTGACTGGAATGCTGATTATCCTCGTGGTGACCTTCACAAATGTCCTCACCGCCGCCTGTCTCTCCACTCTGGTGCACTTCAACGCGGAGCGAGACTTCCTGGCCGTTCCAGTCTTCAAAATACTGTCCTATGTGGACTTGACTAAAGTCATTCCGGCCATGGCGTGCTTGCTGGTTCTCGCCTGTTCAGGAGCACTGATGGAACTCTTCCCGGAAATGTATTCGCTCATCGTGAAGCTCACGACGACAGAGTGGAAGATTTTGGCAAAGCAAATTGGATACGAAAGTCGCGACAGCGGCAGTCCAGTCCTGGCAATCTTCACCGGCGGAAGTTTATGTGCCATGCTCGCTTTTGCCTGTCCCATGGAGAATTTGATCTACATCTTGGCCGGAAGTCATCTCATGGCATCGATATTCAGATCCCTTTTCCTCCTCTACACACCCTATCGTCCGAAGTGTGTGCAGCATCCGGAATCATCGTTGGCCTACACCAGACTCCAATCAGCCACTCAGCCAACCCCTCAGAGCCTCCCCACGTCGGCGTCCACATCGAGGCGACTCTGGTGCTTCCGCAGAGCCTCCACAGTCGCCGCCAATGTCACGAAATCCCGCTTGCAGAAGAAGCCGCAGGATGAGGAATTGGAGAGGGAATGGTTGCTGCTGGGCGAACCTCCGTCGCCTCGATGTCTCGAGCATCCGGAGCGCAATGAAGACGCCGAATCGTCAATTCTGAGTGACGAAGGGGATCAAGCTCAAGTGTCGGAAGACAGTACAACTGACATTGATGCCATTGTGGATGAATACCGGCAGAAAGTGAAGGTTTCCATGGCTGGACCGATGGATAAGAACCAGAAAACCCCATCCATCACGTCCTGGAGGGCGTCTCTCATTGGCATTCTCTGCATCCTCTGTGGAACTGCTTCAGTGATCGTCGGTGTAATTTATCAGGATGTCATTTTCCTCTCATCTGGCCTTGCTGGTGGCTTCTTTGCGAATATCCTGCTGTTCTGCCTGCCGAGACACAATCTTCAGCACGGCCAGGTATCTTCCCTCACAGCCACTCTGTCCCTGATCCTCAGCTGCGTTCTGCTCACGGCCACACTGGATCACTCCTGGGCGGCGCTGGTGTTCTGGATAACGGCCGGCTTCATCTTCTGCATCCGCTGCGACACGTGGTGCTGCCTGTGTCTCGATCGCACCACAATCTCTGCGCACTCCCACATCATTCCCAACGTCTCGGCAAAACTGGACAATCTGCGGCAGAGGTCAGTGAATGGAATCCATCTGCCGGGTCGCATTCCGGCGCACAGATGACACTTGGCCAGCTCGGAGAGTGACATTCTGGAGGGCGAGGACACCATGGAGGAGTGGAGTGATTAAGCTAAATAAGAGAGTGATTAACGAGGCCTTTTCCCAACACTTCTTGTCGAGTGTAATCTCTAAATATAAATCAGTGTCGCTTTCAGAAATTATACTATATCTTTTTGTCTTTCTTGAATAAAAAGATTCCGTGCTATTTCTGCATATGAAAATTGAGACTTCCTTAATGAATGACTTCATATTTTTGTTGTCTCTCTCTGAAAGTGGGATGATCTGTGATGGAAGACACGAAGAGATTCCACGGTGTGGAGAAAGTTTTTTTCTTTCCACTCAATTTGGTAAGGCGGCAATGTTAAAGAACTTGCTACATATATTCTTAGTGTCACCAACACGTCCAATTCTCCGTCATCCCATGAGCTTTTCCTCCTCTGGCCAAATATAAACCAACCATGATATCTTCATTACTACCATTTGTTTGTTCTTTGCGTTAGCACATCCACCAGAGTCAACCCACTGACCCAGTATTGTGGAAACATGTCTCGTTCGCTCCTTTTGCAATTCATCAGCCAAACTGTCCGGCCAAAATCTCGTCACACTTTGCCACTGCTTGTCCACATAATTCTATTTCAATTCCAGTTTTTCAGCGCGCGCGTCGCGCCTCATTTGCTCAATTAACAGCGGACATTGTCCGGTGTCAAGACAAAAGCACTGCTCCAATTTGATGAATGGACTTTTCTCACAATTGCCCGCCAGTACAGGCGGAAGAATGGGGCTCCGCCGTCCGCACTGACCTGACAATCTCATCTCCACGAGGTGTTAATTGATAAATTGTGCGATCCACATTGCTCATGAGCACTGGTTTATCGTTCGTCGTGCGATCAAGGGTGCTAATTTGGAAGTCGATCCACCTCCGTACGCTTCTATCTTCTTCTTCTACTTTTCTTCAAATGCAGATGCGCGATGTTCTGTTTGTTTTGCACAAAAAATCGTCATATTGTTACCATCTTCAGCAGCTCAAGAAATTAGAGGTGCATCGCATAAAGTCTACGAGCTCTTAAGATGGGTTTGTTATCATACAGCCAAGAAGACGTCACAGCTCTGGTGATCAACAACAAAAACTCATTCTTTTCCTCCCCGCGAATTTCACAGAAAGCATGAATCAAAATACAATAAATATATCAACTGCGTCGAGTGTGAAAGTCCAATACTATAATGAAAAAGGCGATATAAAAGGCGATGAATAAATTTTTGAGTTCTTTTATAAATGACCTCCTATCTATATAGATATTTCATGGGAAACTTTAAGCATTTTGACAAATTTATTCACCGCGCTTCTGACTAATGTGCGTAAATCTCCGCTCCCACAAGCTTTCAAAGCCTACCTCAACGTGTACTCGCTGCGCGCGTCAATACGTGATGAATATATAGTGGGGAATTGGGTTGATAGAGCTGCTGCCATGACGCGTCTTCCCTCCCAGTTGCAACCGAAACTTTAAAATACTCTCTTTTCACCAAAAACTCTTTCAGTCGGATATCCAAGCGTCGCAAGAGCACACAACATCTCACACACATCCGCTACTCTCTGGACCACTGCTGTGGATATGGGTTAAGTGAGATCGACCATGAGAGGTGTTAAAGTGCTCATAAGTCTCCTGGCACTCCTCACACCCTTGGCGAGCGCCAAGTCCTGTCCGGAGCCCACGAGAGCCCATTTGACGCGATGTGATAAGTACTTTCGGTGCGTGCAATTGCCATCGGGAAACATTGTGTGGATTCCCAATCAGTGTGACACTGGCCTCATTTACGAGCCCAGCCTCAAGATGTGCGTCCTCCCGGGTGACGATTGGGAGTGCACACTCCCGGGGGATCGGAGTGCCGCCGCGAGTGACGACAGTAACATTTACGGAGTGAATAATTTGGAATATTTGGGTGAACAATTGGGAGCATTGAATGATGATGAGGGCAGTGAAGTGACAATATCTCAGAGTCAGCCGCAGCTGCAGGACTTCAGTCAGGAGGACGAGTTCAGTGGTGATGGTGATCCTGAAATCATCACAGACAAGATAGCTGAGGAGAAAGTGGGATTATTTCCTCTGCCAATCAGTACAAATCCCAATTCCGAACTCACAACGCATCTCCAGAGACTCACGCAGCTCATTGACAATTTCCACAAGAACAACACAACTCCAGACACTCCTGTCCTCCATCCTGACGATCTGAACTCCTTCCTCGCCCTGCACAACATTCGCCATCAATCCAACACGTACAACAGTTCCAACAAATTAGTCCTGCCGGAAAATGGGAAAATACATCCTGACACGCTGTCGCAAATCCTCACCCAGCAAAATCAGCTGCAGAAGCACGAGATGGTGCAGAATCCTCAGCTCATGGGAAGAATTAAGCAGAAGATAAACCCGATTAGCGGCGATGGATCGACAATTCATGTGAAATCTGCAGGACTCTCGCAGATTCCCTTCCGTCCTGACAGTTATTCAAACTCCCAAATTGTCGTCAATCGTCCCGAAGGCGCTGTCCTGTTCAACGTGGCCAAGCCAAGGGACACTGTCAATCCGCAGCAAAAGCCCGAGCCTTACATCTCAGAGAACACCCTCAAGACTGTGCTGGAATTGTCCAAGCAACTCGTCTCGACCAACCATCCAGTTGTTCCTCCTGTGATCTACACAATCCCCATTCCCTATCCCACATCCGCCGTCCAGTCAGAGCGCAAGAAGGTGGAGAGGAACACGACGAAGGTGAAGGACGAGCCCCAAGCCATCTCAGTGACTGTCAAGGAGCCGATCTCCAGCACTCCGTCGCCACAACTCAACTACTACATCGACAGCTATGGGGTGAAGTACAGTCCTCAAGTGGAGTCCTTCCCGCTCTCCTACACCTCAGGCATCAACTACTACCCGCCCTATCCGCCCCTGACCTATTCCTACTCCAACTACCCCGTCGACTCGCCCTCCGCGGCGCCCTTCGACGCCCAGGGTGGCATCTATCACGCCCAGGAGCAGTCCTATCTCACGCCGCCCACATTCGGAGCCACTTCGCACTATCAATTGTACGGTGCATCGCTGGCATCTGGGCCAGGCGGTCAAGCACAGCCCGCTAATTACAACTTTGGGAGCACCGCTGGAAGTAATCAAGCGATACTCACGAACCATAATTGGTTCGATGATAACAAACACTTCCAACAGCGAGAGCCAGAAGTGAGCCAAACTGATGACGAAGAGACTGACGAAGAAGGTATTCAATTTCTCAAATTCTCTGCATGAATTTCTCAAGTAGAACCATTTTTTCCTCAAATTTGCAGAGATGGAAGAAGAGAGCGAAGACATGGAGAGCAAGGAGTCTCTCTTGGAGGCTCTGGCGGATCTGCAGAAGCCCTCAGAGACACCACCGCCTGGCTTTGTCCAGGTGGCCAATCAGCTCTTGGACGCGGAGAATGGGAAGAACAAGATAATCAACGTGCGCGGCAACTATTTCACCTACGACACCTACAAGGACACAATCCTGCCGCTGCTCAGCAACTCAGACGGATCGCTGGAGAGCGGCGTTGAGATCCTGTCATGCTCAATGGGTGTTCGCCAGCCGAATGCCACTGATTGCACGCGATACTTCGTCTGCAATCCCAAGACTGGAGGATTACTCTCCTACTCCTGTCCACCCTTCACGGCCTTCAATCCGCAGTCGAGAATCTGCGACGCCAGGACGTTCTCCTCGTGCAATCCGCTGGCCATACAGAACAGATTCACAATCAGCGAGAATAAGAGGCTTCAGTATGAAGCTCAGAAAGCTCTGGAGGAGGCAAAGCGTGTCCGGGAGGAGGCCATCAAAGCCCAGAAATTGGCCACACTGATTAGATTGCAGGCTCAGAATGCGATCAGTCAGAAGGTGCCCACCCAGATGACAAAGCCCATGAGGGTGTCCTCCAGCAGAGTGACCACGAGACGCCCCACTGTGGCGGCGTCCGCCACGACGGCCAAGAGGAAGAGATATCGCTGTGAGGTGGACGGAGGCGCGGTCCCAGACACCACTTCATCCGCCAAGTACGTTGTGTGCTTCAAGGGATCCAATGGCCATTGGAGGAGGTGAGAAAATCCCAGGAAAACCGGAAAACACAAGATTACCCTTTTCCCTAATTTTTTCCAGGCATGCGATGACGTGTTCCGAAGGCTTAATATTCTGCGTGCGGATGCGGAAGTGTACTTTGCAGAGAAAGTGTCGCAAATATTTCTGAAATCTTTCTAAAATAAGCTTTGAAATAAAGTCCAAAAACTATTCCACAAAGCCCCCTCATTGCCCTATTCCAACGTCGCGCGCTTTTTCCAGCTTGAATCGAACTGGCCGACATTTCGATCAGATGTTTTTGACACGCGCCGCGCGTCAAAACGTCAAATCACGAACGTGGCAGAGCGCAAATTCTGGGCATTTTTCTGCTCAAAATATGATCTTTTAGTGCATGAAACAAGTGAAAAATGGATGTTGTGGAGTACATAAAGTTCTATGCATTCGTGGGATCCGCCCTGTCTGTGGGATTCCTCATTGGGGTGAGTTTTGGCCGGGTAATTCGCCTTGTTTACAATCACCAGAATTCTTTTCCTCGCAGCTCTTCATCATCCTCAAGTACATGACCACTCCGTATCCCAGGATCTTCCGGCACAAGAATGAAAAGTACTATGTGGACGCAAAGACGCAGAGGAATATTGACTTCCCTTCGATAGATTCAGATGAAGTCCGGAACGGCGATGTTGATTTGAGTGTCATTGTGCCGGCTTACAATGAGGAGGAGCGCTTGGGCAAGATGCTGGACGAGGCTCTGCTGTATCTTCGGGAGCGACAGCGCGAGCAGCCTTCCTTCCGCTTTGAGATCATCGTCGTGAGCGACGGAAGCAGGGACAAAACGGTGGACGTGGCGCAGAGTTACAGCAAAGAGCACGGAACGGATTGCATGAGAGTCTTGGCGCTGGTCCAGAATCGTGGCAAAGGAGGAGCAGTTCGCCTGGGGGTCCTGTCCGCCCGCGGCAAGTACATCCTCTTCGCGGACGCTGATGGAGCGACGCACTTCCCGGACTACGGGAAGCTGGAGGCGAGCCTGCAGAATCTCGTGCGGAGCGGCGAAGAGAGCGCTGTGGTGATCGGATCTCGCGCTCATCTCGAGCAGGAATCCATCGCGCAGCGCAGCGCCTTCCGCACCTTCCTCATGTACGGCTTCCACACGCTCGTGTGGGTGTTCGGCGTGCGCGGCATCAAGGATACTCAGTGCGGATTCAAGCTCTTCACCCGACAAGCGGCTTCCACTCTCTTCAGGCTGATGCACGTGGAGCGATGGGCTTTCGACGTGGAGATTCTCTTCCTCGCCCAGTCGCTGGGCATGAAGATCGAGGAAGTGGCGGTGAATTGGACGGAAATTGAGGGATCTAAGGTGACGCCGGTGTTCTCGTGGCTGCAGATGGCCAAGGATTTGCTCCTCATCTGGTTCCGCTACGCCACGAACATCTGGCGGAAGACGCCGCAGCCAAAGGATCATTCCGATTAGTATCAATGAGCTTAGATTGGATCATTTTTAGCCCAGTAATCTTCAGATTCCAATCAGAATCCATCGAAAGTTGTATTTAAGCGCAGAATAGAGTGAGTTTTGTAAATGTACGTGTATTTGCTACAAAGTTCGAAGAATATTAAGCTCAAATATAGATCTCTTGATACATGAATTCCTCGGAATTTTCCTGCATCCTGAAAAAGAATTTCCCTCTGTGAATTTTCCCATTCTGGAGCTTTCAAATGTCGGCCAATTTGGCGCTTCGGGAGTGGTCGACAAAGCGCGACCAACTTCACGCCGCGCAGTGTCAAATTGATGGCGTGTGTGGGTTTTCGTGAATAAAATACCTCGCGTGTTTTCTCAAAATTCTCATGGAAAATCACCAATGAGAATGTGAAAAACACCCAAAAGTACCTCATCGAATGGTGTACTTTCACGTGCCAGTGCGAGAATCCACGTGCAGCGGTGCCAAGTGGGCGAAAAGGCAGCAGGAGTTCCTGACTAAATTTGGGTATCTATTGCCGAAAAAACAACCTTTCTTTACCCCATTATTTTGGCCTTTTATTTTGGTGGCAAATCTATTTGTTTATTTTCGCATTTTGGTTGTGTCTTCTTTGGGCTTCTTGTGATTTCTTTGCATTTTTACACGACTCCTTGTTTTTTTTTGTTATTGTATTGCGGGGTTTAATTTCTATTTACACTTGTCTTGCCTCCAGCACAAAAAATCACACACACTCAAATCTATTTATTGCACAAAACTTCCCCAGCTTCTTTTTTGGCCTCCAACTGGAGCATTTGTTGTGTGGGAAATTGTAAATAGATTAGAGATGTGTTGCAGACGAGACTTCCGTGGTAGATTGTTTGTGTTCTATCGCTCCGGAGGCCAGCGAAGCAGCATCGCGTCGAGAGCTGTTTCGTGCCTCCCTTTTTTTCTGTCTTCCACAACGCGCTGAGCGATTGTGTGGCTCTCTGGGCATTTCCGGTTGAGCGGAGAAAGCCGCCCAGAGACTGGCGAGGGGTCAAAATGCAAAAATCAACAAATAGGTGCCAAAGAGTTGGGCAAAGTGTGTCGCGGTGGAGTAATTTGGCGATTGTGCAGGATCCGGAGGGGCCGCGGGCAGTGTCAGGATGGGCGAGCGACTGTACGACATCATCAAGAGTGGCCGGATGACCAAGAGGTCCCAGAACAAGAAACGCTTCACGCCGGTGAATTACAAGACGCGCTGGTTCGAATTAACACGACAATTCCTTTCATATTTCGACACAGAGAACATCGAGGTGAGTTGAGTCATAAATACCTCCCGCGGAGCTCTCTCGGCACTATTCCTCTGCCATTGAGCATCCCCTTTGGCCACAGTACAGCCCTGCGATGTGCCATTTTGCGTCCCTTTCGCTCCCGGAAGGCGAGAAGTGCGCGTGCGCTGGAAAATTTTCCCAAAAGAGCCGGTGTAAATATTATGAAAATCCAATTAGGACACAAAAATATTCACGAGTCCTTTCTTCTGCTGCTGCTGCTTGAGTGGCCAAAATTTCGCTTTTCTCTCCCACCTTTTGACCTCTTTTTTGGCAGTGCTTTGCAAGTGTGTATTTTCCGCGTGTTTTGTGTGCGATAATAAAGTGTTGCGTGTGAAAAGTATCTCGTGATAAATCCAATAAAACTCTCTTCCAGGATCCGCCCTTGCTTTCCGAATACAAGACAAACACACTCCTCTGCTGTATGTGTGTCCATTAATCTTTTTCCAACGCGGAGTCGACTTTCCTCCGGGAGTTCAGTGTTCGCCATTTAAGTATATTTCTGGGCGAAAAGTGTTGGGTTTTTGTGGTGGAGAAAATAACAATAATCGGGAGAGAATTGTTCGTGGGTGGTTGCGCTTCTGCACAAATGGCATTTGCGGCAAGCACAAAAGACTTCCCTGGAAATTGATTCTTAAGGAGAAGAGAGACGCGCTGAGAGAGGGTCAATATCTGAAAGGATCGCTATCTTGAGTGCTTCGACCTGCCCACAAACCCTCCTGTGGATGTGAGTTTGTCGCTCCTTTTACAGTGTGATGTGTCATCAATTGGTTTTGTTTGAATTTCGAGGGAGGCGAAGAGAAAATCGATAATTTGTGTGCTGCGTGTTTAGATTTCTTTGCTTTTCTAAAAAGCCTTTTCTTCACTGCTCTTGGCGAAGGGTTAATTACCCTCTCTTTGGTTGAGGAGGAATTCCCTTCCTTATCGCCACACTTTACGCTCTCGCCAAAGGAGTTTCCTTTGATGCCTCATCGCTCCTTCACTTCCTTCATGCTTTGTCAGCAATTAAATTGATAGTGCGAAGTGATTTGGAAGTCTCACGTCTCACGTAGTGTGTTTGAATCGATATAAATGGGTGAGAAGTTGTATGAAGAGAGTTGATTTTGTAGTCAAACACTTGCATTTATCCCATGAGCAGTGATTTCAGACATCCATTGTTGTTTTGCACGCAGAGTCAATGTCCATTGGGTTTTCCGTGTGTCATTCCTTTGATAGCCTGTAATTCTCGGTTGACAAAGATGAGTTACAGAAAAGGCTGAAGGGAAAATATACACACACACACACACAAGTCAGAAGAATAATATCATCCATCATTGTTCTGCAGTGCAGAGGAGATAGGAAAGAGAGGCTTAAAAAGATATGAGAGACATGCATTTGCATAACAATAAACCAATTTTGAATTCCAAACGTATAAGAAAACATCCAAGATGAAGAGAAGACATGATGGAATATTATTGATGTCTCCTCTATACAGATCAAACATCCTCATTGGACATTTTCCTTGCTCCCTCTCGCTCTCTCTTGCTCTCGCTCTCTGCGTAAACATTGTTGGGACATTGTTGACGGCAGCAAAGACACCAAATAACAAATGATATTGATGGGTGATTGGAAATGTTTAGACGCGCACGAGATGTGAAGCATTAATATTTAAATATTGTGTGTATTTCTATGGGAATTTTTCTTTATTTTTTCCACCTCATTGCGCGCAATGTTAGAATTGTCGCTTATATGCTTTCAACATTCCAACAATATTTCTCTTTTTCTCCTCCCGAGAAAAAGTCATCACAATAAAAGACGGGCAGAATAGCAAATCAATGAGTGAGAGGAGGTGAAAAAAAAAAAGAATTCTGTGGAAAAAAGTGTAATTGAGTTCATGGCACATCGTTATTCCCGTGATGTGCTTTCAATTGTGTCTTCTTCGAAAAAGTTATATATTTCCTTGAGGTCGTCTGGTGTGGCCTTTTATGTTTGGAATAAGATGGAGTAAAAAGTGTGCTTTTTTTCTTCTCGAGAAAGGAAAGAAGATTCCGTCAAAAAATTAAACATGTCGTAAATACAAATGTATTTATGCGATGAGTTAAAAGGGATGGTACAAAAGACGAAGTACTTGAAGGCACACAAAAGTGGCAGTTTGTCTCTCTTTGCTGCGTCAATTGCATATGTGTATAAAAGACCCACCCTATGTAGGTGCGCGGATATTATGGAAAGTTCCTCTTCAATATTTTTGCCAAATGGCACACAAACAGAATTTTATGGGCCTCTCAAGACAAGAAATCTCCATATTGGTTGTTATTGGACATGCTTGTCGGAAACCAAAAATTATGACACATTCCTTCAGCTTTTCTTCTCTTGTGTCTTATAAATGAAAATGGTGTTTGTGTGAAATTTATTGAGCCCTTTTTGCCCTGTCAATTTTGACTACCTCATTGCTGAAAAATTCCTCTTTCTCAGTCAGCTCTTAAACCTCCTTTTGCTTTGCATTTGCTGTGTTTACAGTGGTTGTCAATGGAATAAAGCATCTTTCGCGATAATATTGAATTGGGTGAATTTATCTAAATTCTGGGCAAATTTTTGATTATAATAAAGATGAAGGAAGACGAATAAAGTGTTTAACCCACAGAAGAAACCAAGATTGGTTGAAAGATTGACCAAATATTCTTCAACTTCTGATAAATAAATTTTAAAGGGTTGTTGCAACATTACAGATTTTGTATTTCGCTTTTCACAGCTTACATTGGCAGCCGCACGGCGGCGCTAATGCAGTGGAGAGTTTATTTAATATGAATATCAGCTGTCAAACGCGAAGAATCAATTCAACAAGACGAAATAGATCATAGAAATCCAATAAATTTGTGCTAATCAACTTAAAAACATAATTTTTGTCAATTTCCTTAATTTTCACGTGAATTTTTCGGCTTTTCTTGCCTTTCTTGCCCAGAAAATAAATTCTCCAATTTCGTAAATGCTATGAATTACAATGTTGCAACGCAATTTTAGGAATTCATATTTTTGACAACTTATTTGAAATGTTATGAAAATAAAGTTGCAACGACCGAAAATTTTCTGTACTTCAACAAACGGCAAAATTCACGTGCTTTATTTCATTGGCGACGATTGTGGCTGTAAAAATTTCGCATATATCAATATTGGTCAATCAATTAAGGGTCATCCGCTTCTTTTATGCGCGCCCGAGTGTGTGAGTGTGTGTTACTTATGGGCCAAATATGCATCAGGAATATGTAATGAGTGAGGGAAGTGATGGTATTTTGTGATGAAATGCCGGTGATTCTGATGCATCTCACCCAAATCCGCAGGGATGACCTCTTGTTCTGTGAAAGGAAATTCCACTCGTCTGACTGTACAATGGCTGAGATGTTGAGGAATCATTCTTGAAGGCCTAACTGATCATGCTCGAATATTTTTCAATTGTTGCACACAATTATTGTGCACAGAAGATGGATCACACATGAAACGGAGTGAAGTTTATTTGAATAGGAAAATGATATGTCTAAATTATTCACACCACTTATTATTGTTGGTTCTCGAAAAGAAGAAAAAAGAGGGAAAAGAAATGCCGATGTCTGTCTTGTGAGGGGCATTTTGTATGATTTGATATAATAAATGCCGTAGATTCCAGTTTTGTGATAAGGAAGAATGTCTCTTAGTACCTCATAAATTGCCGTGGAGAAGAAGTCTTGAGGAGCATTGAGGAAAGGCGTTCTTGTTTGAATATGAAGCATTGAACCCTTCGCATAACCCTCGAGAGTAGATGAGAAGCATATAAAAATTCCTCTTGTCTTTCGTTATTTGTAAGCCTTCTTTTTTTGAGAGATGCATAGAGAAAAATGTGAGGGAGTTATTCATGTGTCTCTCTTGTGAAGACTGTGTAATTATGCCATAAAAATAATAAATTTTAACACATTTCCTTCCATTATAATAATACCCTCGGCTGAACTGTGATGATGGAAGCATGTAATGCAAAGTGACAGATAAAAATGTGATTTTTCTATTTTATCGTCTTCTCCCTGGCTTTTTCTCCTATTTCTCCACACACACAAAACTTCTTGACTGTGTTTTTTTCGGACAAAGGATTGTGAGAAGTCGATATAAATAGAACTGAATAGGGATGAAAAATTGCCTTTGAGAGATTATATTAAAGACAGAAAGAAAGAGGTTAAAATATTCCAAAGAAATGTTGTTGAATTGAATTCGATAATGATTCTTGGATTGTTTTTATACACAGAATATTTTCATATTGGATAATAATGAGCAATTATGAGAGAGAATATCTTTGGCATTGCTTGGGCAAATTAAAATATTTTGTGTGTTTTATTGTTACGCAATTAGTTTCGGTTCAACTGTAACATTTGTAGGGAAAAAAGGAGAAAAGAAGAAGAAGAAGTGTAATTGTATGAAAAGTGCACTCGTGGGAAGCTTATTGTGTGAGATTAATTCTCTGATTAGGTGTTTAATATATTCTTTTTTTCTCTTATCACATTTTGCATTCTCAATGAGGTGGAACGAAGATCGTCTCTGAAGTTAGGGAGAAGAGATTTATTGTTGTTCTTTTTCTTGTGCTTCGTTTTATTTTGTATTATATTACAAAATATATTGTTTATACTTTTGCATCCACATTTGTGTTTAATGCTTCTGTATCTAATAATGGTTGAGAGATAAATGCATATGTTTTTCTTCTTACTATATTTTTTCATAATGTGCAAAACAACAGAAACGACGAGAAAGAGGTCGTGTCAACATCAAGGGCATTCGTGTTGTGGAATTGGCTTCTCTGAATGTTGAAGGTGGAGATCCAATTGCTCCGGAAGTGAGTATCTCTCTCCCAATCAAATGGGTATCTCGAATAATATGCAATTAATGCTGTGTTCTCTCTCTCTGCCAACCTCCAGGGCTATCCATTTCAGATTGGCTATTGTGAGACGACAGATGGTGGATCCAGCGCTGAGACCCAATATACTCTGTATCTCGTGGCGAGCAGCGAGAAAGAGCGTCATGAGTGGATTAAAGTTCTAAGAACGGGTCAGTAAACGCCTCTAATTAACCCAGACAATAATAATCATGTTATGTTTGCCGATATAATTGCGCGCAAATCTTTTGACTCTTGCGTGAAGATGGAGAGAAAACTGTACTGAATTCTCTGTCTTGTTCATCCGTAAAATTGATTAATCCACTGAAATATGACATTTCTATGTTTCATTCGTCAATTAATATGCATCGCACAACAGTTTGTCTGTCAAATGCCTGGACAAATGGTGCTATTGTCCGATGACTCGAGCTATAAAGCATAAAAGTTTCACAGAGTGAAACACACACTATAATGTTGCTCAACAATTCATAATATAAACTTAATTGTACCCGCGCGACGAATTTCCATCTCTTTGATATCTCAAAAACATGTATATGATGGTGTCAATGAGAGACTCTGTTGCTAAGAGTTTCAGAGCTTTGCATTTAGATTGCATTGGAAAATATGAGTGAATGTGTAAATGTATTTAGAACCATTTTCCTGCGGTGAACCAATAATAAATTACTGATTTTCTGGACATTATAGTAAAAAATTGACTAAAAATCACACTTTTTAAATAGCAAAATACTGTAATTTTCACAAAAACATACAAAAATCAAGTTGATAAGTCTAAATCAAGACATAACATAACGTTATAACATGGATTTAGAGCCAAATTTGCAGTGTTTTAATTAATTTTCGCTGTCCTTTTGCGCATTTCTCTCTGGATTTTATAATATTTCGGCTTGGAATTGAGATATTATCAAGATTACAAAATTTGTATCATTAAATGTTTGTAAAATGTCTCGAAAATTGAAAGAAATATTGAATTTTTAGTACTTTATCAACTGTCAATTTGTCATAAACATCCAAATCGTGTTTTTATACACACAAATTGAAGAAATGGAGAGAAAAAAACCGCACTGACTTGATATTTTCGATGGTATATTCTTTTAAATAGTTCTTTGTCTTCGCTTGGATAACAATGAAGCCATTTAACAAGTGTCTCTCTCTCTGTCTTGCAGTCTGTGACGACAATCCGAAATCGTTTAGATACCATTTGGGCCTGTGGCACGGACGGAAGTGGTCCTGCTGTCGTGGCGTGAGCAAGAGCAATTTGGGGTGTCAGGTGACAACGAATTGGTCAGAGCCGAACAACAATCCGAGTGAGTATTTTTAATCCTCACTTAGCCAATTGGGAAAAGAGGTTTATGGGTCTGTTGAGAAAATGTCAGTGATGCCTTTTTTTTGCGACTCCCCATTCGACAATGCAGATTGAATTGGAGGAGAGTAAAAGTAGTGTTTCAAGTTGAATTCAATGCCATTCTTTGGTTGATTCTTTCTCGCGCGCCAGCAAGAAAAATTTGTCAAGACGTTGGACTTTTTTTCCTTGCTTTGCAACAGATGAGAGAAAAAAAACAGTGAGTGCGTGGGTTTCACTTGGTGTACACACAGAATGTGTGTCTCTTAGGTCCATTAATTCGGTTAATTATTGCGCATTTACACACTCTGTATATCCCCATTCGATTTCTGTTGGGTGGCCAGAAGAATGGGAGAGTTTTTTCTGTCGCTGTTGTGCTGCGCGCGCGAAAGGGAAGAAAAACATCAAGACCTCCGTTTGGGTGTTAAAAGAAAAAAAAAGAGTCTGAAAATTAAATGAGAGATACTTGGAAGTGTTTTATATCTCATTAGTGAGTGAGCTTTTTGGGGCTGAATATAAGAAAATAAACAGCTCGCGCGTACCTTTTATTCACTTTTGGCCTCAACATTTTATATGCAAGAAACTTTCTGCCATGGGCAAAAAGACTCTCAAAGTTAGGTAAAAGAGACATAAAAGTTTTTGGCAATTTTTGGGGGGAAGTTATATTGAGAATGTCTTTTTGTTTTGGGTGCTCCCAGAAGAAGAAGAAAAAAGGAGTTACACGCGGTGGTGTTACAAGAATTCCAATTTATTTCACTTTATTGATCAATAAATCAAGCCCATTGACTTCTCTCCTTCTCTTTTCTGGGGGCTTGAAGACAATTCACAAAGCATTATACACAAGAGAAAAATGAATTTTGGGAGAATTGAGAGAGAGAGAGAGATTTACCAGTGAATGCCATTCTTTTCCCACCAAACACTCTCTTGCCTCCGTTTTTTTTCTTTTTGGTTCTGCTGCAATTAATAATAACGCTGGTAATTCATTTAAAATTCAGCCAAATGTATTTTGTACACATAGTCAAAAGACGGGCATTTGCATATGGCTCTGTTTTTGGGAGAGACTCTTCTTCGATGGTGTCCATGACCTGTGTTGTATTGTTGAGGGGAGAATTTGTAATTTTGTCAGTTTGGGATGTTTGATGAGGAGGAGAATTGTGGGTGAGTTTGTGTTGGTTCACACAGGTCACTGGCCCAATCTCTAGCATTTGCTGTTTTGTGTACACACAAAAGAGAAAAGAAGAAGCAAAAAAAAAGAGCGAAAAAGGTTATTAACAATTCACTCAAGTGGATATGATTCCTAATATACTAAAACACGCTTTACAGTTCACCAAAAACCGCTGAAAACTCATCAATTTGTCCCGCGTATCAGTTGGTGCGACGAAATTAGTCGTTTGTGGGGTTTAATGTGTTTGAAGATTATGCTTGAGTGACTCTTCAAGCTCTCTTTGGTGGAATTATCCTGCCAATTGGCTGTACAGAGAGAAAGTCACTGGATTGAAGAGTGTACTTTGCAATTGTGGAGATGTATTTGAAGAAGGTGTGGTTGACATTTTGACAAAATGATAATCCTTTATTACACTTTGGAACATTTACTTTATCTCTTGTCTGTGTGTATTTGATCTTTGTCGCACTTCTTCCATAAGCCGGATGAACAGCTGGAGTTATCCTGTATTCAAGTGATGTCTTCCAATTTCCTGTCCGAGTTTCCTTCACTGAATTGGCGATTTCTTGAAATCTTCATCACACACATCTCAAATGGCTTAAGATTCTCATTCCATTTTGCAGGCGACTTTGCAGTCAGTGAAACAATGTTATATTACTCAATGCAAATTATTATCACTGCTTGAATCAATTTAAAGCCACCTTAGAGCGATTACAGACTTGCTGATGATCCACGGGAGGATAAGCGAGAGCGCGAGTGTCTTCGACTGATAGTTCGCTTAGCCAGAAAACGTGAATAATCCCTCGATTTATCGAAGATTCAGCCGATTTTTTGGGCTTCCCGACGGCAGCGCCCACGTGCGAATATTCGCTGAAGCATTGCAAGATTCAGGAAATGCAAAATGGCGGATCTCTTGCGAATGATTTCCTGGATTATTAAAAATCATTAAATTCTTCTGCGAAACATCAATTTTCGCAATTTTAACGTAAAATTTCACGCTTTTGAAGTATGCAAATCCAGTGACAGCTGAACACACGAAGCAAAAGTGGCGCTAGTGTCGACAAAGAAGAATAACTCCTGAGTATTTTTAGCGCCAGTTCAGCCACGAATTATAGCTAATCCATATTTTGAGTGTGTAAAGTTGCAGATCAACCACGACTTATCGCTGATCTGCGCCTTTACACACTACAGACTCATCCACGGAGGATTGATCCGAGTTCGCGTCGATTCGAGGGTGAGCGACAAATCTGTAATCGCTCTTATAATTGTTTGTGCGCAAAGTGCGAAAGAGAGGGATTTCATACATTGTATGACATGGAGAAGGGTAGAAAATGCAACTTCGCCGCATTAACACATTCTTCGGTAGATCATATAAGATTGTGGAATCTATGGGGGGATATTTAAGTGGCGAATTGGTTTCATGGGTGTTGGTTTGGCGAAAAAGAGGCACAGGTATCAATAGAGGTGGAGTGAATCTCATTCACACCACCACGAAACTGCTCTCTGGCTCACCAATTCCTGTCTTTCAACTTGCTGTTGTTTTGCTTGGTGTTTATTTTGAACGTTCAGGAGAAGAGCGAGCGAGAGAGAGATAAAAAAAATTTCTCTTCGTGTCTCTCTTTGGGAGGGTTTATCATTTTTAGTTAGAGAGAATCTATTTGGTATCTTTCACTTCAAAATTCTCAATTTCTTCTCCTCTTTTGTCGTTGCGAGGGAAGTAGAAAAGTGATGAGGAGAAAATAGTTGAGGAAGTGAAACATATTTGTCCAATAAATGATCTCTTCATGAGGGAGATTGCCAGTGAGTTGTTATGATTTATAGGTGAAATACCTGTAATTGCATGTCTTACATGAATAACAACAATTTGTAGTTGGCTGTTGAAGCTTTTAAGGCTGCAGCACACAGTTGTATAATTATCATTGATGAATCTATCTCTTGGTGAATAGCAAAATGTTGATATTCTCGCGATTTCCTTATAACTAATAAAGGCGAGTCATGTTTGTCATTTAAATACAACCGCGCGAGCGCTTGAGAATCAGCGAATGATAAACCTCACGATATATCCTCTATACCTTCGTGCCGAATGTGATTACAATATTGCTTGGCTCTGTTTCTCTGTGCTTTGGAGAGTGTCTCTCTAAGAAAAGGAGGCTTCTCGGCATGTGTGTGATTGTTGGGAGAGTTGTGTGGTTGAGCTTGCCAGCGACTCCTAAAGCGTGTGTAAGATGAACAGTGCTGAGGTGTTGAGCGTCTTGGGAGGCGCGCAGTCACTGTCTCTCGTGACTCTGTTGAGCTTGTGGCCTGTGGAATTGTCGCTGGTGGTCGAACGAGTCTCTCTCTGTGTCTCTACCTGGCTCCCTCACTCCCGTGTTCGCTCGGTGTTTCGCTGCCAGTGTGTGATTGGGGTCCAGAGCACTGTGGCTAGTCAACGCAACTTCAGTCACATTTTAGAGTTGCTAATAAATGAACGCGCGCATCCACTCTATAAAGCGAGAAAGTGTTCGGATTTTTTTCATCATATCTAAAAGTTGAAATATATCTGTAGCTTCTCCGTAACTCGTTTGCTACTTCTCTTATTATTTTGAGAGAAATTCACGATAAATAGAGTGTTGAGTGTGTGTTATTTTACAAATAGATAAAACTGAAAAGTGTGTGTTTTTCCATGCAATATATTTTTCGTTAATCTGTGCGTGATTGGATTGGCTTTATATGTTCATTTATCACCTGAATTACAGTTAGTCGAATGTCACCTTCGGAGATTTTTCTCTCTCTTTGTGATCCCAAGAGCCGCGATCGCTTAGTTTTGCTTGATTCTTGAGATCTCTTTCCTCTTCTCACTGTCATAATTTTCAACACATGGACACATTTTAGCTGGTGCGCTATAATATGCAAAAGACAAGATATAATATTGCGAAATTCACTGATTTCTCCTCCTTAATTCTTCGTCTCGTGGCATCTTGATGTGTTTCTGTTGTTGTTGTTGTTGCCTATGCGCGGCGGTGTGTTGTTGGGGCCACAGAAAAGCAAATTATACCGCGATGGATATTAAACACTCCTACTTAAGCGTCTCTGGTGAATTTCTCTTTTTTCTGCACAAAATTCTCAAGTGTGATTCTTCTCAGAACACTCTTCACATCATCAATATTCATTCAGATTAATAAATAATAATAATATTGTGAAGCTCATCTCTCACGGGTATTTCTCCACAATTTGTCCGATTGTCGAGATAGTAAATGAGGATTTTACGAGGAGGTGAGAAGGAGAAGAAGGAAATTAAATGCTCACCGGTCACTTTTATAGATTTTCTGTATAGATTCTTTTGAGGAGTTTCTTTTTGTCCGATCAATATAAATGCGTTTTTTGATATTACATTTTATGGTCGTGTCTGTATTTGTCTCTCTTTCTCTCTCTCTCTCTTTTGCTGCCTTTTCGTTGCGAAGGAACAGGTTTTTCCGTGTGTAAAGAATATATATATAGGGGGAAAAATCAGAGGTGTATGAATATGATACAATTAAGAGAACGCACACGACAAGAAAATAAAATAAGATTAGACAAGTGTGAAATCCAGAATGTTGTGGCAAAACGTCAAGGATTTCGAGATTCAGTTCCAAACATTTCCAATCTTCTGTGTAAATTCGCTTCCAACTCTCGATTTGGGTGTTTTTTTTCTTTCTTTCGGTAAAATGCGCCAATTCGTCAGAGATTATTCATCAATTTCCCAGTTTTAAGACACGTTTAGTGAGGAGAATAAGAGAGAAATATGATCTTGTCGCTTTGAGTGCGATGTTTTGAGAGTTAAAGAT